ACATCAGCAAATGAAGGTCTCGAAAGCTTTCTCTTTTCCATGAGTAAGGCTGGGTTTACTCAGATGTTGCAGCTCTTTCCCAGTCCTATTTTGTGAGCCTTTTAGCCTAAACGGACTATTCCTAAAGTTGTGTGGTAATATACCAAATAGTGTTTCTTTGCTATTCTTGACCTTATAATGAGGAAAGAAAGCTTTTGTTTACTTATTACTCTCTTTTTCTAAAATTAACTTTAGAAAGACTTTTAAAACATCAACAATTAGCTCAAAGAGAAGAACTAGAACATGGAAAACGTTAAACTGCTTACTAAGAAAATAACAATTAGAAGGAAAAATTTAATTATCTCATCTTTCAAAATACCTACACCATCTTAAACATACGTAAATGAATTAAGATTAACTGATTCTTCCTCAATAATAAGCCTCTGAGATGCACAATGCTCCAGAGAAAGTTTTGTAAAGACTCCTCTAAACTAAGTGAAAATCTTTTTAAGGCAAAAGAAAATAGGATAAATAATGTGGACATTAATGAATTCTAAAATAAGAAAAATATTGTCTTAATACAGTTACTGGAAATTGGGTGGATCACCAACATTTAAAAAAAAAACAAACCCATGGGCAAATCTAACATTATACTGAGAAAATAATGGTAACAATGTGAATAGAAATATAGACTATTTAAACAAACTATACTTCAACAATAACTGTTTCATAATATGCAGGCCATTTCCATGATTTTTAGGTAACTTACTTTTATCAATTAATAGATATTCATTATAACTGAAATTTACAGGCTCTTATATTTTACACCACAGAGAAAAGGTACATAAACATGTTTAGGTCCGGTATGGTTGTACTATTTTTGCCACTTAAAGAGTTGTACTATAAGAGATATGTAACAAGCACAAGAAATTTAAAAGACTTATTAAAAAGGAATTTATTTGATATAGTCAAAATTCTTACCTACAGCTAAAATCTGATGTGTTTATGAGAATTTTTAAGAGCTTTAATGTCAAATAGCAAAGAACTGAATTTCTTACTGTTAAGATAACGAGATTTTCTTTAATCTTTAGGTTGAAAAGTTAATTTCATTCTTCATGCAATCTGCCTCGAAGGCAAGAGTTTGTGGCAGAATAAATTCCTGAGTGGAAAACCAAGCTGATCAGCTTTAGCAAAAGCTAAAGTTTTTGCCTTTAAGATATTTGGCTAAATAACTCAAATACTGTTTCTCAATGACCTACGATAAACTCATGACAACTCTGAAACTTCACAGAAAACCACCTTAAGAAGTAAGGTGAAAGTTTTAGCATGTTCTGAAAAGCAAAAATGAAAATAAAACGACTGGTAATAAGTTCTACTTCAGACAGAAAAAAAGAGTAGTTTCATCTTAAAGTAGAATGGTTATGCCTGAATGTGAAAGATAATTAAAAAAAGCTAAACTTGAGGGCACATCATAAGTTACAGAAGGCTTGAGGAAACGTGAACTTCATTTGCCTTGGCTTATGGTAAATGCAAATAATGAGTCTGGAAAGAAACAATGAACGAGAGACAGAAAGACAAAAATAAGATTTAAAATAAAAGAACTACATAAGTAGCTGAAGGACCAGATAACTAGAAAGAAGGTGTATGTAACCAAAGAAAAGATGAAACACACCTAAAGAGTTAAAATAAAGAATTAAGAAAAGAGTCATCAAAGTGCTGGGATCATAGAGCAGACTATAAATCTAATGATAATTTAAAATTAAAAGATGTAATTGTTGTTGTTGTTATGTGCCGTCAAGTCAAACCCGACTCATAATGACCCCTCCTTGGGTTTCTGAGGCAGTTATCACTACGGAAGTAGGATTGCCCAACCTTCCTCCCGAGGAGTGGCTGGAGGGTTTGAACCACCAGCCCTCTGGTTAGCAGGCAAGTGTCTTAGTCACTATGCTACCAGAGCTCCCAAAAGATGTAATAATATATGAAAATCAGGACTCAGACTGTGCCTCAGAAAATGAAGGAAATGTCTTAAGATATGAAATTATAGGCTAATAAGATTAACTTTGCTACAGCAGCTTCAGAGTGTTTAAAGACATTAAACTCAGAGTAACCATGTGATTCCAAAAAAAAAAAAAAAGCAATGTGATTACTAAAGACAAAAAAACAGTTACAGAAATATGTTCACACATTACAGACTCTAGAAGCTAAATTAGCTGCCCTCTTCATATAAATTTGGTCAGACATCTTGGTCAGACAGCAGAAATAAGAAAACATCCTTAAACACCATAATGGCCAGAAGCAGACAGCTGAAGCAGACAGCTGATTGCAAGATCATGAAACAAGACTCCATGCAACCTGCTGAAATTTTTGGACTTTATAATTATAGCTACTCTGATGTTATTAGCTATACTGTGGACTTTTCCCCTAATAGTTTGTTCATAATGGAAGGTTAAGTTTTATACTTTGCTCCTCAATAATTCCTTCTAATACTCAGAGAGAAAATGCATTCATTCAGCTGTCCCTGTCAGTAGCCAGCACTGGCAATCTGTCCGAATTTTCGATTTGTCATCTCTCTCTAAACTGGATATGAAAATTTAGACACTTTAGCAATCCCTGTTTTAAACTACAGCCTCATACCCAATGTTTTCATTAATCCCAATCACCTTTAAACAAGGCATAAATATGACCCTTTGGCATTCCCCAGGATAGCTGCTCAGCCTCATGTACTATATTTTAATCTAACCCTAATCAGAACAAAGAAATGCTCTGAAGCTACTTAAGACGCTTCTGCTGCCTATTATATCAAACTGATTTTGTTTCCTATCCAAAACTCCCTAAGTTTTGGACAGATGTTCACATAGCTAATATAACAAATGGCAAGAGAAGATTTCTAAGAATCTGTGTTAACCTTTGAAGTCCAGAAAAGTTAGGGTCGGTATGCCTACCCATTTCTATTAACTCTTTAAAAGAAATTTAGTTTATTCAACTAAATTAAACCATCCCCTTTCCACACAAGTCTTTCAATATTTCCTATGTCTAATTTTCCCTTTTGGACATTTTTAGCTGTTTGCCCAACAGAACTGATTCTTGGCTACGCTCAGTATTATAAACTGGATTAATTCTCTTGTTTATTATATTAATTGTTGTAGGACCTGTCAAATGCCTTATGAAATATTTCCCTGATACTTCTAGATAGGACTTCCTTTGTTCTGTAAAAAATAATTATGTATCTTGAAGAGACTTATGCCAGGTAAACAGCCAAACTTTTACTCCTTTTCCTTCTTTCCCTCTAGAGTATTACATATTGATCTTTGCCACTGAGAATAGATCTGAATTGTTCCTTGAATGTGACCTTGCCTGCAACCCTGACAAGAACCAACCCAACTCATCCTGAAGATAAGCCCTATTAGCATGGCAAGGTAAAGAAATAGCCCCTTACGAAAAGGCAGATAAAAGCTCCCAGAGAAGAAAGGTGATTCTATTGTGGGTGATGTGATCAGCATCCCCTGGACACTTGATCAAAAGGGGGGAATGTGCTAGAAGAACTAAAAAAAATGAGGTGTTCAGGCCAAACTCAACAGTAACAGGTTAATCGGTTCTGTCTCTGAAAGAATGAGGGGAGGGGGCAAAACTACAGCTATTCTTGAAAAGAATGCTATTGCACAAGCTGTTTGTCCTTGAAAGATAAATGGAACCATTTTTGCAATATGCTTGCACAGGCTGACTCCAGGACTTCTGTAGATTAACTAATGTATGACTTATGATTACTAATGTATGGCTAACACTTACTATTTTCCTCAACTTCTTCTATAGAAAAAGCCCTTCTAATTTTCTATACTTTGTAACAGGAATCTCACTAAGTGCTGCCCAACTACAGTTGTTATTATTCCTCAATAAAACTCCTTTTCTTTCGCTTCTAAGCCTGTGAGATTGTGTTCAGAAACCTGACCATGTTACTCCTCTGCACAAAAGCCTCCTAAAGCTGCTCATCTCAGAGTAAAAACCAAAGACTCCAGAAGACCTACAAGGACCTTTTATTATCCTTCTGACTTCCATCTTCTGTTACTACTCTCCTTCATTTGGCCCCAGCACATGGCTTCCTTGCTGTTCTTCAAACATGCTGGGAACACTCCAATATCTGAACCCTTTATACTTGCTATTTCCTCTCTGCCTTCCCCCAAATATCTACATTTTTGTTTGTTCTCTCACTTTATTCAAGTCTATGTTCAAATGTCATTTTATCAGAGAGACCTTCATATTAAATCTACCCACCCATTCTCTATCCTCCTTATTCTTTTTATTGTAATTTATTATACCTGACAGATTATATGTTCCTTACTGTCTGTTTCTCCCCATGACAGCAGAAATTTTACATTCACTGGCATATACAAGTTATTCAATAGTAATTGAATTGAACTCAATCTTTCCCTATCTTTCTAAGCTATTTAAAAATTTAACACACTCAATTTTTCCCCAATTATACTTACCCATGTACATAAAATAATGTATAAAGCTTCTTTGCATCAGTCATGCAGCTTCGAGTTACAGATAAGACTCCCTTGGGCCCTACTGTCAGGGGTTCAAGGGCAGGATTTCCAGATTCCACAAGTTGGGAGAAGAGGCGCTCCACACTACGACGACAACCAACACATGGGACAAGCTGAGAAAGTGCACTCAACACTTCGCGTGATGTCACCACCATGGCAATACTGAGATCTTGTTGCTTAAGCATACTATGTCGCTGAAAAAAAAGAGGGAAAACTAATGAAGAAGAATTCTTAAGAAAGAAAGACATGAAATTATTTTATTAGTATCTTTCACTATTAGTCTGGTTCCTATTCTTGTATAAGAGCTTACTGTCTATCTGCAACTGAGTCAGAAATGCAGGCTAGTCCTGCGGTAATTGCATTACTCCACAAACCCCCTTGTTCTAGAAGCTAGGGTATGAGAAACTCCACTTAGGATGCCAGTCCTAAACACTGTATGCCCCAAACAGAGCAAAAAAAAAAGCCCTGCATCTGGAAATTTAGGACTTGCTCAGCGAGTATTAAGCCTAGTATTCTCACTGAAAATAATAATAACAATATAGACAATGAAGCTTTACCATGTCTTCTTCCCAATTTTTAACAATACACTAAGTTTAGCTACAGAAGTCAAGTTGGAATCATGATCATGTAGAGAAGAAACTCTTAACCTAGGAGTATGGACAGGAGTATTATGAGTCAGAAAAACAGAATAAGGCCTATCTTACCTACAAGAAGTCTGCAGTCAGTAACTAATACACTATTGTGTATGAATGTTATCTACTGGTTATGACAAGGTAGAAAAATGACTAAGACCTACACCTGTAGAGAAATGGGTGAAACTCCAGCAACTCCTATGTTGATGGATTTCCAGTTACATTACAATTAATGCCTTCAGATTTACCAAAAATAGATGGGAAAGTAAGGTAATTCCCAAAAAGCATTTTCTCAAATTGGCCATTGTCTTTGTTACCTAGTGCTGCTGTAACAGAAATATCCTAAGTGGATGGTAAACAGAAATTTATCCTCTCACAGGTTAGGAAGACAGAAGTCTGAATTGATTGGCAGCTCTAAGGCGAAGGCTTTCTCTTTCTATCAGCTCTGGAGGAAGGTTCTTGTCTCATTTTAAGATATGTGGGCCCAGCATTCCTTGGAGAGCTACATGTGTCTTGGTATCAATCTCCCCTTGGTCTAGGAGGTTCAGTGAAGGGACCCCAGGTTCAAAGGACATGCTCTACTCCCAACTTTTCTTTCTTGGTGGTCTGTCTCTTTGTCTCTCTCTGCTTGCTTCTCTTTTATCTCTTGTAAGATAAAAGGTGATGCAAGCCATATCCCAGGGAAACTCTCCTTACATAGGATCATTGTTGTGACCTGAGTAAAAGTGTTGTATCCCACCCTAACATCCTTACAACTGATTGGCTGATCACATCATTACATAACTACCAACTTGTATCATTACATTAACTAAATGCCAAACCACTGTGAATCATGGCCCAGCCAAGCTGACACATATTTTTGGGACACAATTCAATCCATGACAGCCCTTAACCTTTCACTGAAAAATTTCCTCTAAAAATAAGAATAGTGTTTTGTTTTCTACTATTACTGTTTTTTTGTTCATTTTACTATTTTATTGGGTTCTTAGTTAGTTCTCATTTAACAATTTCTACACATACCATTCAGTGATGATAGTTACATTTTTCTTAACCTATCAACATTCTTATTATTTCCTAAATCAACTGTTGTTCCTGTGGTTAACACACAGCAAACGCCATCTAGGGTGCAACTACTGGTGTCTCCTTGTCTGAAGCAAAGAAAAGTGAAGAAAATCAAAGATACAAGGAAACAAGTAGGCCAAAGGCCTAATGGACCATGCGAATCCCAGCATCCATGAACCTGAGACCAGAAGAACTAGACAGTGCTTGGTTAACGCTGCTGACTGCTCTGAAAAAGATCTGGATAGGGACAGAGTAAGAGAAAAATTTGGAACATAACTCAAAATCACAAAAAAGAACAGGCTTACTAATCTGATAGAAACTGGTGGAACCCATGACTATGGCCCTTAGACACCCTTCAAGCCTGGAACTGAACTCATTCCCTGACCCGTGGCTCAACTTCCAGCCAAACATTAAGACATGCTATAAGATGAACAATGACACCAGGGAGGTATACACTCCTTATAACAACCACCACAGGAGAACAAAATGGCAGCATTTGCCTAGGGATAAAACTCAGAAGGCAGGAAGGCATAGACAAGAAGGAAGAATGGAAACGGTAACACAGGAAGTGGGAAGAATACTGTTACACTATGGGGATTGCAATCAATGTCACAAAATGTGCATAAATTGTTGAATAGAAAACCAATCTGCCCTGTAAACTTTCACCCAAATAACAATAAAAAGTTAAGTACACACCTATAGCAAAACATACTCAACTGAATTATTTCTAAATGTACAATTCAGTGACAATGATTTACACTTTCCAAGTTGAGCAACCATTTTCACTCTCCTTTTCTGAGATGCTCCGCCTCCATTAACATAAACTCATTGCCCTCTAAGACTCCTATCTTATCTTTCTAGTTACTGTGGTCATTTTGATCCCACATAGATAAAGAACAGTGTTTTGGAGTACCAACAATTTATCTTTCATTATTTTGATTGTATCCACAATGAAGGATCATACTGCTCAGGAATTAAATAAAAAAATCACAATATAACATTTTTTGTAACTTGAACAAAACCACTTCCACAGAAGAAAACCAACAACTTTTTAATGAAAAGTTGTATTCTCTATGTTATGGACTGAACTATGTCCTCCAAAAAATATGTATTTTAAATTCTAACCCCTATACATGTGGTTTATGCGTTCCGGTGGCACAGTGGTTAAAGTACTTGGCTGCTAACTGAACGGTTGGCAGTTCAAACCCACAAGCTGCTCCACAGGAAAAAGATGTGGCAGTCTACTTCCATAAAGATTAACCAAACCAAACCAAACCCACTGCCACTGAGTCAATTCTGACTTATAATGACCCTTTCAGACAGAGTAGAACTGCCCCATAGGGTTTCTAAGGCAGTAAATCTCCATGGAAGCAGACTGCCTCATCTTTCTCCTGCAGAGTGGTTGGTGGGTTCTAACTGCGGACCTTTTGATTAGCGGCTAAATGCTTTACCCACCCTGCCACCAGAGCTTCTTTTCCATAAAGATTACGGTCTTGGAAACCCTCTGTCCTACTGGGTCACTATGAGTCAGAACTGACTGGATGGCAATGGGTTTAGGTGTTTGTTTTTTTTAATGTTGTTGTTAGGTGCCATTAAGTTGGTTACAACTCACAGCGATCTTAGGTACAACAGAGCAAAACACTGCCTGGTCCTGTGCTATCCTCACAATCACTGCTGTTTTTGAGTCCATTATCACAGCCACTGTGTTAATCCATCACCTTGAGAGTGTGAAAAGGATATGGCCATCCTCCTTTGCCCTTCTCTAACTTCACAAGGGAGAGACAGACTCACCATAGCAGCTCAAGGCTGTTTACTATGCAGCCGAAGTCAGACATGCCACCACTCTCCAACACTTTTACTAATTCTGACACCAACTGTCCCTCTCTCTCAGCACTCAATGCTTCTCTGCCGAGTTCAACAATTCATTGCAATGGCCACAAAAAACTCACAGACAATACTCATGATTATGGGGTTTATTAAGGAGTTAACAGTTTACAACTGAGGTTCAGGAACACTCAGGATACAATTCTTCAATCAGGACAGCCTCCCCTCAGTTAAACCCTCAGGCATACTCTCTTTGGCCCTTGGCCTCTCTGCCTGACCTCTGCCCTGCTCAGGCAAGTGTTACAAAGCTCTTTTAGTGCTGCCGACAGGTGCACCTAGGTGAACCCTCCTCAGACAGCAAGGCTTCTGCCCAAAGGCACTCAGTTTTCTCACTCCATGGGCCAGCAACAGCAAGCCCACTCCTCTGCCTCGTGCCTCTTAGTTCTTCTGCTGCTATCTCAGCCTGTCGTCACTGCCATCTCTCAGACAAGGAAGTCCACTGCAGGGATCTTGGGTCCAAGGATGCACTGCATTCCACCTCCAGCTCTTGTCTCATAATGTCTGTGAGATCCCCCCCTTCTGCTTCTAGGAAGGCTCACGTTAAGCCTAGCAGAAGGACAGAACTGACCAATCCCAAAATCAGGGTTCCATATACCTTATTTCTGTGGTCCCACTCCCCCAAGGGTGTCATGTATTTTATTTACATTACTAACAAGCTATCCAATTCCCTTGGTGAACCATGATCATCTTACATTTGAATAGTTCCACCCACAAATCTGGTGGGAGTCACAAAGACCATGGCTATAACAGCCATACCAAGTAATTCACTGCACCACAGACAAGCTTCCTCTTTTTTTGTTGACCCTCTATTTTACCAAGTATGATGTCCTTCTCTAGAGACTGGTCCCTCCTGATAGCATGTCCAAAGTATGGGAGACAAAGTCTTGACACCTTTGCTTCTAAGAAGTATTCTGGCTATACTTCTTGCAAGACAGCTGTGTTTGTTGTTCTCGCAGTCCATGGTATTTTCAATATTCATTGTCAAAATCATAATTCGTAGGCATTAATTCTTCTTCAGTCTTCCTTATGCATTCTCCAGCTTTTGCATGCATAGGAAGAGACTGCAAATGGCTTGGGTCAGGTATACCTGAGACCTCAAAGCAACCTGTGGTTATAATCTCAGTGGGAATGGGTTTTGTTATGTTAATAAGACAGTATTAGTGTAGGGTGTGTTTTGAGTCAATCTCACTGGAGATATAAAATGAGCAGATTAAATAAGGTAAAAAAAAAGAAGCAGAGACGGGGGAAGGTAGAAGTCATGCCACATGTGATCACCAGGGAGAGAAGAACCAAGGACCAGAGCAGAGAGAGAGAGGAAAAGCCTTCCCCTACAGCTTGTTGTTGTTGTTGTTATGTGCCATCGAGTCAGACTCAACTCATAGCGACTACCTAAATTTGGATTTCTAGCATCCTAAACTATGAGGAAATAAATTTGTTTGTTAAAGCTATTCACTTGTAGTGTATGTTACAGCGGCACTAGCTAACTGGGGGAAAAAAAAAGATGACATTGTGAAAGTAGAACCTTATAGACATGTAAAATGTTAACAACAGCACCACAAAACCTCTTTAACACGACAGGTACAAATATCAGATGCTGAAGCTTATTCACTGCAGCAATTTCAGTGAAATCTTAACGCTTGTTATGTGCCGTCGAGTCATAACCGACTCATGGCGACCCCTCCTTGGGTTTCCGAGGCAGTATCACTACGGAAGTAGACTGCCCATCTTCCTTCCGAGGAGTGGCTGGTGGTGAAATTTTAACACTTAGGTAAAACAAAATTAATATTATAGCTAGAATTTTCAGTGTCTCTTTAAGACCACACACCATTTAAAATACTGATTAAAAAACTATTACCTGAATGAACGGCTTTAGTTGTGCACCATTATTCTGATGTCCATCAAGATTTAACACATTGTCAGGAAATTCCATCACCATCTTAAAACACAAAAGAACAAAAATCAATTATTTTATCCTCTTTAAACACACAATACAGCTAAGTTTTTAAATTCATAGGACAAAAATAGATCCCAAAGTCAGATTTGCCCCCACACACACCAAAAAATGTTATTGACGTTAATTAGGATCAAAGACATTGAAATCAGGGAGGCTTAAGTTCAAATCCAAGCTCTACCACTTATAATCTGTCATAACTGTGACCAAGTTAACTTAAACTGTCTGATTCTCAGTTCTTCATTTGTAAAATGAGGTTAAGTAATAATTGCTTGTATTTACCCATCAGTGTCACTGCAAGAGTTAAATAATATCTTATAGTGTTTGTTAATAATGGCATTTAGTAAATGAAATAATATGATATTTTTAGCTATTATTCTGACTATGGACACAGTAATTCTTAAGAGTTGTTGTTGTGTACCGTCGAGTCTTACATAAAATACTCAGAACAGCATTTGGTGCACAGTAAATACTTGATCTAATTACGAACAAAAAAAGATACATGGAGTCGTTTACTCAATTATCAAAATTCACTCCCAGAGGAAGAGGCACCTGAAGCTTAAGGATATTTCAGGATGCTGGATAATGGGAATTAGTAATTAGCACATTTTACTGATCTGTGATAACAAAGATTTTAAGAAGCAGCATAGTTACATACCAATAAGGAAAAAGCCATTATAACTGAAGGATGACATCCAAGTTAAGATGCATCCCAGTTTCAGAGATGTTAAAATATAAAAAAAGTATGCCTTTAAAACAATGAAATAAATTAACACATTTATATCTTAATAAAACAATGTTAAATGTATCAAGCATACTATACTAGGACCAAACTTCTATTTCCAGACAAGAGCCACAAACTCCTACAATACCCAATTACTCTCAGAAGAGTGACATCAGGATAAAGAGACCCACTTAGGGCATAAACAAACAAACAAAAAAAAAACCCACCCGTTTGAATGTGATATTATAAAGACTCCTCCCTTCCCTAACCAGCACCACAAAGACCTTCTTTAATGGAGGTGATCATTCCTTCCTCTCCACACTGAAAGACTTAAATGCTTATTCTGTAATAAACTGACTAAGATACTTTCAAAGTAAGGCAAGTATAAACAATGCATAGTATCTTTTCTTGATTTGATAAGGGTGGAATATTGCATACAAGACAGAAAAACAAATGGATACTAAGTGGAAGGACACTAACATATTCACATACAGTGACTTACTCCAGAGGATGTCACTGTTATCTCATAAAACCAAAACAGCATATACAATATTATTCAAATATTTGTATGTGGATTTTTTTCTTTATAGAAAAAGAAAACATGTAATATATTAGATGTGGCTATCTCTAGGTAGTGAAAGGACTTTTTTCTTTATGTATTATCTTTCCAAAATTTACTACAATGCATATATATACAACACTCCTTGGCTAACTGAAAGGATGGCAGTTCAAACCCATCCAGAGGCTCTGAGGGAAAAAAGACCTAGTGATCTGCTCCCATGAAGTTCATAGTCTAGGAAACACTATGGGGAAGTTCTAATTCTGTCTATTTATAGAGTCTCTACAAGTCAGAATCAACTTGACGGCAGTGGGTATGAGTCAAAATGCAACAACTGATGCATGCAAATTATGGTGTTGGCAAACAATACTGAATATACCACAGGCTTCCCAAAGGATGAACAAACCTATCTTGGAAGAAGTACAGCCAGAACACTCCTCAGAAGCAAGAATGGCAAGATTTTGCCTTATGTACACTGGACATATTATCAAAACATCCAAAGTACATGTTATTAGATGTCCTGAGTGGAGCATCATGATTGGTAAAGTAGAAGGTCAGTGAAAAAGAGGAAGACCCTCAATGAGATAGACTGACAGAGTGGCTGCAATAATGGGCTCAAAGATAGCAATGATTATGAAGATGGTGCATGACTGGGCAGTGTTTCATACCTTTGTCACTGAGTCGGAACCAACTCAAAGGCACTTAAAAACAACACGAGTCGAAATCAACTCGACAGCACACAACATTAGGGAAAAAGCTGATGTGCCTTTTTTTCAATTCTATATCCACTCTAATACATTCAGAGACACAGTTCTATCTCAATAGCTTTTCCTGTTCTAAAATTTCTTCCTCCAAACATATAGCCTATATATCTAAAGCTCATATTTTCAAGGATTAATTATCTAATTGTCAGGTATCTTGTTTCTAGCTTTCCTTCTTATTAATATCTCCAAAGGGTGATGGTAATAATAAAGACACTTAGGTAACTTCATATATATTGGACACTGTTTTAAGCACTTTCATATATTAACCTTACCAACAATATAAAGCAAAACTAAAGTCATTAGTCTACTTTAACACTGTAGCTCTAAATGATTTGGAGAAGTGACTTAAGTAAATGGATGAAATAGCTAATGATCCACATCACCCATTTTATTTAAGTCACTAGAGTATATTCAAATTAAAAAAAAGAAATTAATAATCCAGGTATTAGCTGTCTAGAAAACCGATAAAAAGAATAGTTAATAGTACAATTAACTTATTGTGTTTTTTGCACTTATCAGTAGGTTTAAGACACAAAAATTTAACTGTTAAGTCATAAAAACGGTGTAAAATACTTTTAGAAACATGTAACTCAATAGAACACCACAAGTCACTTGAAACTACCAGTTAAGCAACACTTTGATTGCATTTCACTTGATACAAATAGACACTACTTCACCACCAAAAGCAACTGCCACCATTTTTAACAACAACAAAAATTAAGACAATTACCTATGCTATTTTAAGATCAAAGCTATCAATTTTAGAGACATTCAAATGGTCCTTATTTAGCAAAATCAAAGTATTTACAACCTACGCCATAGAGGAAATACTAAACTCTGTGTATAAGTTTTTTTCTTTTGATCAACTACATTATTTGATTAACTTTATTATTCTAATAAAGCAGAGTATAGAACACATCTAACATAACAAGACTTACCAACTAAAAAATGAAAATCTAATTATATGAGTAATACTTCTTTTCGGAACGCCTTTTCAAAACTCAGTATGGAACAAGGTTAAAAAAAATACACTAATTTTAGATCTTTCCATTTTCATCTAACTAGTATTAAAAAAACCAAAACCAAACTCACTGCCATCAAGTCAATTCCAACTCATAGCAACCCTTTCGGTTTCTGAGGCAGTAAATCTTTCCAGAAGTAGATTACCCAGTCTTCCTTCCACGGAGTGGCTAGTGGGTTTGAACCACCAGCCTTCTGGTTGGTTAGCAGTCAAATGCCTTAGGCACTATGCCACCAGAGCTCCTTTTCTAACTAGTGTAGGTCTACAAATGCAAAGAGCTGGTATATTACTGTATCTTTCCTGGGTTTTATCAATCTAAACAAAACTTTAGGAGCTCTGGTAGCGTAGTGCCTAAGGCACTTGACTGCTAACCGGAAGGCTGGAGGCTCAAACCCACCAGCCACTCCTCAGAAGGAAGATGGGGCAATCTACTTCCGTACTGTTACTGCCTCGGAAACCCAAGGAGGGGTCGTGATGAGTCGGGTCTGACTCGATGGCACATAACAACAACAACCACCACCAAAACTTTATTTTCTCTTGTACTTATTCTAAACCACCCCAGTTACAGATTCTACACTCAACAATGAATAATTACCATCTATGCCTTTCAAACACTTAGAAAATTTACTTTCTTCCTTGCTGCTTTCTGACTAATCATGTTTTTTGTCTTAAGAAATGACAGTAAGAAAAAGAAAAACAAGGAGATGACAGAGAAGATAGCATCATTTCCCCCCATTCTTTAAAATCACTTCCTCAACTTTCCGATTCTAGGTTACCTAAAGAAGACAGTCCTGTAAAGTATTTCAGGTGTGGCTTTACAGAGGAATCATTAGTATTTGGCTTCATGATGAGGATGCCTAGCCAAAAATAGAACTAGTCATTGTACTACAATTACTGCTTTATGAAGTTTATTAAATCCATTACCCACTTTCACTCTTAAGTATCTGTCCTGGTTTCTCCTGACCACAAATAATCTGTTTTTATTACAGTCTCACAAATTCTAACCAACTGTATCAAGTTTGTATTTCAAAACCATTTTCACTCTACTTTCATTCATTTACTTCTTCATCCTCACAGCTATTTGTAACATCTGTCATCCTTGGTAAAATTAAATATTAAATCAGGAGTTGAAAGATAAAATGTTACATGCTAAATGTTCAACAAAAGATAAACACCCAATTCCCAAGGAGATATGTTTCCATTTATTATTATCTTAAAGTCTCAGACAGTTAAAAACTATCAGACTTTCTAGTGCATTTAGATTCATTTCAAGTAGGACAGTAAACTGCTTCTAGAAATATTTTAACAATTTCACGATAAGTATCAAGAGCTCTGTAACAACTAATTCAACTTCCAGAAGTCTGAGAAAAAAAACATAAAATGCAAAGGTTTATACATTATTTACTCTTATATAGATTCAATGATAAAATTTAAAAAATTATGGGATGTCACATAATATTACATAGCCATTAAATATGTTTAAGAATAACAAGAGAAAATGTTCTCAATATGACATTTAATGAAAAAAAAAAGGAGAATATAAAACGGTATGGGAAACAACAATGAGATACCATCTTGCTCCAGCACTAGTAGCAAAGTTCAACAAGACAGAAAATAACAAATGCTGGCGAGGTTGTGGAGAGATTGGGACTCTCATACACTGCTGGTGGGACTGTAAAATGGTACAACCATTGTGGAAAGCAGTATGGCAATTCCTTCAAAAGTTGGAATTAGAAATACCATTTGACCCAGCCATCCCATTACTAGGTATATACCCTAGAGAAGTGAGAGCCATGACAAGAACAGATATATGCACGCCGATGTTCATCGCAGCACTATTTACAATAGCCAAAACATGGAAACAACCTAGATGTCCATCAACTGAGGAATGGATAACCAAACTATGGTACATACACACAATGGAATACTATGCAATGCTAAAGAATAATGTAGAATCTGCAAAACACTGCATAACGTGGATGAACTTGGAGGACATTATGCTGAGTGAAATAAGTCAGTCACAAAAGGACAAATATTGTATAAGTCCGTTATTGTAAAACTTAAGGAAAGATTTATCTATTGGAGGAAATTTTCTTTGTTGGTTACCAGGGATGGGAGGGGGGGGGAGGGAACGCTGTTAGATAGATAGTGATAAATATTGATTTGGGTGAAGAGACGGGCAATGTACCAAATGGGAGTGACCAATATGGCACCAGTGAGGATGAGAAAGACATAGAGAGGTACATGGGAAGTACAGACAACAAATATGAACCCTTTTGCATATACAGTACTGAGTTGTCAGTGAAGGCAAACAGGGGTATATGGACGGATAGATAGGTGGACAGGCTAAACAATTAGGTATGTCTAAATGGGGAGTTTATCCAAGATCATATATAGGGTTGGCAGACAATGGTCCTATAAGTTTATGTGAGTGATCAGAATTCCCAGGTGTATAGTAGAGCTGACAAGGGGCAAGGTTATGGACATTGCTTGGTCACAGCCAGCTACCCAGAGTGACAGAGTAGTTGATCCTGCGGGCCTGGGACCATAGTCGCAGGGGACATCAAGCTCAATTGGCATAACATACTATACAAAACATTGTTCCACCTCCTACTTTGGCGAGTAGCGACTGGGATCTTAAAAGCTAGCAAGCTGCCATCTAGATGCAACAATGGGTGTCTCCTCGTCAAGAAGAAAGAAGAAAACCAAATGAATGGAAACAATCAGTCCTAGCGACTGGTACACCATCTGATCTGCAACCTATACAACTATGAGACCAGAAGAACTAGATGGTGCCCGGCTACCACTGTCATCCACTTGGAAGGGATGTAGGAGATCCTGCATAGAGAGGGAGAACAATGTGGAACAAACCTCAAAATCATTTGGAGGCAAAAAAAAAAAAAAAAGAAGGTGGGGACCAGGTTTGCTGGTCCAATAGAGCCTGGTGAAACCACTGAGACTATGGCCCCTAGCTGCCCTTCAGGTCTGGGATTGAACCCACACCTGTGATTTCCAGCCAAACAAAGAACAGGCAAGTGAGTTAAACATTTACCTCAAGTAGACACACACCCTGGAGAGAACAATCATGGGAGAAGGAAGGGCTGCTTATGCACAGGGAGACAGCTCAGGGCGCAGAAGAGTATGGAGGGATGGACACTGGGAAGAGGTAACTATGGGGAGGAAGTGGGAGGGGAGCTGTTGCATTGTAAATTTTGGTCAATGACATGAGACAAAGTATATGTGAACTGCTGTATGAAAAGTGAATTTACTCTGTAAATCTTCACCCAAATAAAAATAAAATTAAAAAAAGACAAAAAAACCACAAAAACCCAGTATGGGAGACAATATATCTCAACTCTGCACCTACGTGTGCATTTGTGACTGGAATTACACCATACTGTAGGCTATAGTTTCAGTTACCACTGGGAAACAAAATTAAGATGATTTGTTTTGCAGTTATTTATCAAGACTTATTTTATAAAGAGTGGTGGCAGAGTACCTAAGGCACCTGACTCCTAACCCAACGGTTGGTAGTTCAAACTCACCAGCCACTATGCAGAAGGAAAACAGGCAATATACTTCCATGAATATTTACTGCCTTAGAAACCCAAAGGGGATTGCTATGAGTCAGAATCGACTCGATGGCATTGGGTTTGATTTTGGTTTTTCATTAGTTCTCTTTTTGAAGGAAAAAAAATCTTTTACTTCTTCAAAGATTGCTAAAATAAAACCTCTATTTTGTCTATTGGAAGCTCTGGTAGCGTAATGCCTAAGGCACTTGACTGCTAACCAGAAGGCTGGCAGTTCAAACCCACCAGCCACTCCTCAGAAGGAAGGCTGGGCAATCTACTTCATAGTGATACCGCCTCAAAAACCCAAGAAGGGGTCACTATGAGTCGTGTTCGACTCAACTGCACGTAACAACAACAGCAACAATTCTATTTGCTGGTTTACAATTCTAATGACCTTCAACAGCATTTTAGCTACAAAGCATACTATTTTCCTATACAGTCCATCAGCTTGCTTACTTGGGATTTTTTCAAATACACTTATATCAGCACTGTGCTCAAGTGTTCAAATTCAGTAAACCACCACCTGAGTCTTTTAAACTTGGCTGTAACATCATATAAAAAAGGAGCTTCTTAATTTCATTTTACAAATCCAAGTTAAACCTATCCAGTTTAAGGCTAGATTGTAAACATTATAACTAGATGGTAACATCTAGCTGCTAAAAATTCTAAGACCACTTGAAATAATGATCTTTTATTTCTTCTCCCAAAGATTACAGTTTCCTCAGTGCACAGTGCACACTACCAATGGAACCCGGGAAGAGAGACCAATCCAAACGTTAACTTCAGGCACACACCAAACTATTGATGGATAAGAACAGAGCAGAAAGCAAGATTTTCTTTTATAGGTATCTTCCCTCCCTCTTCCTCCCTCTTCCCCAACAAGTATTCTGCTTTGCATTCTTCCTTTAAGTAGCACTTGACAGAATGGTCCTGAAATAAACTTGTTTCCCTAACTATGATGAATTCTTGACAAGAAATTTCACAAATGAGCATTCAGTGACTACAGAAATTCCAAGATAAAGTAATAAATAAAATGTCCCACTCATTCTCTAGTAATGAAACCTATTCCAAAGCAAAGAAAAACTGCACCTTTACCTAATGAAATGCTATTTTGAACTATTTCAATTAAATAAGCCCAAATTTTATTTGCCATGGTCACAAGTCCATGTTACATTAAAAGCAGCATTCAACAAACAGGTGTAGTCCAATCCAAACTTGTCTGGAAAAATAAGTATAGTACACTAAACCACTGTCCAAGTTTACATCTTTTCCTTTGGAAAATTTTTAAAATTAACATCACTGGAGAAAGAACAGATTCTAAGAGCACTCAAAAAGTTGGCCACTTCAAAGTACTACGTGATGGATGTATTAATGTTGCATTCACATTAAAGGTGGTTATGTGGGTATGAGGAAATCATTAAGTCTTTTAAAATTCTGTCATCAAATTCATGTTCACTTCCCTTGTTTTGGTATTATACACTCAAGAAAAATCTTTTATCTAAAATCCGTGGGATTTTTTTTTTTTAAACTTCAAATCCATTCCAGGACAATAAATCTAAAAGGCTTATATCAACCTATGTGCTTTAGAAAAGTGTTTATGTTGGGGAGGGAAAGAAGCAAGAAAATATCAACCAATAAACTCATCAGGAGTTTTCAAATTGAGAAATGCATCATACAATTTGATCAGAGCACCAGTTTGTTTTTGCTTTTTACTATTTAAAATGCAAGTCCACTATACTTTGAAGTGCAGAAACCATGACAAGGGATACACACGAGTAATTCCTAATGCAGCATTAACAGAAATTCCATTTACTTTATGTCAGGCCAAATTATTCCACCTTTCCATGGGGGGAAAATGTATTGGGTGATTACAGATGCTTTCACACTTAAAAAGTTCTAACAAATGAAGCCATTCAATAACTCTTCTAATCCTACTAAAAGTCTTACAATTATGTCTTAATGAGATTGGCAAACAGAAAGGCAAGGAATGACTTCTTTACAATGACTTGCATTTTATTTAAAATTTGAAAAACCCTCAGTAGATATCTGCACACACACACACAAATCAGGAACAAAATAGATCAAATGCCTTTGAATGGTATAAAATCAAAGATAGCAAAATGAAAAAGCTCATCTGTATCTTGCCAAAAGAGGGAAATGAATAATCCAAATCTTCAACATCATCAAAATAAAAATTTCAAAAGATACTCAAAAAAGGTTCATTAAATTTCTTAACAAATAGTGGCAAGTAACTGCACTCTTTATTTCTCTTTAGTTCCTGTTCAGATTCAGTTCAAATTTCTACCATTTCCTTTTAAAGGAAATAGTACAGCAACACAGAGTAGAAGGTCCATAATACTCTACAACCACTAACTCTAAAAAGGAAAACTACCCAGAACCAGGTCCTGACACTCCAGATGAGCAATCAGCTTTTCACAGTACTTACACATCCAACAATCTGGCTTCTTTGGGGAAAAAAAAAAAGGAGGGGGAACGTAACTGTATGTAAACTAAAGAATAACTAATGCCAAGAAAGCTCATTTTGAAGAGTCACGGCCTAGCAATACATTCATTTCAAAGAGTTTAAGGTACTAGTCAATACAAGGCTATTTACAACGAAATCAAATCCCTGTAGTGGAACCTTAACTCTGCAAGTGCATGTCACTCTACCTTCAGTAATTATGCTTATATACTGAGAACTGTATTATTAAAATGGAAATACACAGATAAAAGTGTAGCTGCGACATTGCCAGATAATTAAGCCTCCCTGAGGGTCGGAGGTTTCTGTAAGGGATAGGCCCTAAACGCCCCAAATTTTTCAACCCCTCTCCAAGTCGCGTGCTTGGGCAAAAGCAGCGTCTCCTGGAGAAAAAGGATAAAGGTAGAGAGCTCAAAAAGGAAGGAAAACCTGGAGAGAAGGGCTCAGAATGTGTACGGAGCGCTAGACTTGGGGCCCGCAGAGCTTACCCAGCGACCCACTGCAAAGGCGAGTTTGTGGGGCCTGCTAGAAGAGAAGGCCTCGCCTAGGAGTTGCAACACACTCTTTCCCCAGTGCGCCGCGCTTGGGCTTGGGGGAGGGGGAGGAGGGAAAACAGCTGCCAGGGAAGCGGTGAGCCCAGCCCAGCCCGGCCCGGCCCGCTCACCGTGAGGGTGTCGTCTATGTAGAGGGGAATCTGCCTCCTCTCGAAAGGGAACTCCTCCTCCCCGTCCCTGCACACTGCCACAAGTCGCGCCATCGTCGCCGACGCTGCCGTTGCCACCGTCACCACCTCCTCCCAGCTGCTGCTGCTGCTGCTGCTGCTGTTGCTGCCGCCGCCGCTGCCGCCTCCTCCCAGCTCCTGCCTGCAACAGCCAAACCCCGCAAGCGTTAAGCACCAGCCGCCGCGCAGCACATTCACCACAGGCAGGAGGGTGCAGAGCAAGAGGGGACGGGAGAGCCGGGCGGCGTTTCCCATCACCCGATTCCACACGCGCTCAGCCAATCAGCGCCGAGCAGCGCCGGGACCCGCCCCCTCGCGCCGCTCTCCCTCCCCACCCCCCTCGCCGGCCTCCAGTCTGGGTCCAAAGGAGAGGCGGAAGGGACCCCTACCGGCCTGGGGCTAGCCTAACCCGTCACGGGAGTCCCGGCCCCAAGACCCCACCCTGGCTTCAGCGCCACAGCCCACTCCCTGCTTCCTGCCGCTGGGGCGCCCTCAGCCCACAGCTGACCCCCTGTTCCCCATTCTTGGAGCGCCCCGCCCAGTCAGTCCCCAGGGCTACAGTTGCCCAGTGCGACCCCGCCCCTGGGAGGGGTCGACCCCGCCTCAGCTCTGCAGAGGCCTAAGGGGGCCTCCGACTCTTTCCTCACCCTTCTTGGAGGAGGCCTCTCGGGTCTGACCTTCACCGTTTCTCGGTCTCCTCCCTGACCCCCACCTCTGCTCCCCGTTACCGGCTGACGAAGCCCGCGTCAAGGCCGGCCTGGGAGGGAGCGCGGCTCCGAATGCTGTTTCCTCTCCAGGTTCAGTCAGCCGCTCGCGCCACGGGGAGTGGGGGAGGGAGGGCGCTGGACGTGGGGAGGGTGGGGCAGGGAGGAGCCGAGAACGCGGGACGGAGCCCCGCCTCCTCTCGCGAGACTGTTGATTGCTGCGCCCAGGTTGCAGCTTTTGAAGCACGGGCAGAGCGGGAACTCGGATTGGCACCTTTTCCCTGGCCTAGCGATGTAAAACAGAAGTAAGGCTGCTCGGAGGAGAGCAGACCTCAACCTCAGTCTTCTGCCCCGCGGGCTGGAAACTGCTCTCTCTGGAGGGCCGGTGGGCGGAAGGAGCCGAGCCGAACCGACTCAGGCCCGACCCAGGGTTCAGGCCGAGTGAGAACTTGGGTAAGAAGTGAGAATCTCAAGCCTTCGTGATCGTTGAGAACGGAGGGCGAGAGTTAGGAGAAAGGCAGACGAGCATCTGGCGCGAAAGAAACAAACTCTGAGCTCGGTTTCCAGGTACCTCACACCTCTTAATCTGCCTTCCACTGCGGGGAGATTGGAGGCGAAGGCCGTCTCCTTGGCCCTATCACCCTCATTCACCCGGAGCCAGCCGCTAACTGCTTCCCAATGGAACTGCGTAGAAGTCCCACTGATGGGAAAGTATTTTAAGAGCTGACAGTTATTTTTTGTTTTACACTAGAAGCAAATAGAAAACCTACTATCCTTTTTATGGAAGTGGCTGTGTATGTGCCCTGGCCAGAGGAACTTCTTGGGCCTGGTTAATAATGATTTAGGAACTCGGACTGAGGACAATTACCTTCGTCAGAGTGCTGGTACCGGCCAAAGGACTTACCCTCTGGCCACCTCCTGAGAAACAGCTGCTGTGTCGCCACCGTTTACTAAGTTCCTACCTTGAAGTCTTTGAAGGCCTGTTGTAAAGCCTAAATAGTTGGGAAATCTTTTGCCTATGAAAGTTTTCAAGATCTTAAGGGTAAATCCAATTACTGCTCTACAACTAACTAATCCTAAAGACATATCTGTCTTTCCAGGAAGAATAGGTGAGCGCTTTGATACTGACTTTTGAAATGTGTTTTGGTCATCATGTGAAGTCTTAGACATTCACAACAACAACAAAACCCACAGTGCATCCTTAGCCATGTTGACTTATGACATTGTGTGGTCACTTTTAGTGTACGTGACATAATAAACTGGAAGATCCATTGTTCAATCCCAATGGTATGATTATTCAGTATGTCCTTTATGTATTTATGCCTTCAAGTTGATTCTGATTCATAGCGACTCCATGTGACGGAGTAGAACTGTCCCATAGTTTTCTTGGCTGCAGTCTTTACAGAAGCAGATCACTAGATCTCTCTTCGAGGAGCCTCTGGGTGGGTTTGAACTGCCAACCTTCAGGTTACCAGCCAAGCGTTTAACTGTTGTGCCACCAGGGCTCATTTCACATATAGGCATTCAGTAAATAACTTATGTAAGACTAAAAAGCTGAATAACTTGCTGGATGGGTTGCTTTTCTCAAAGAGATAGCCTGGGTGCTACAAGTAGGGTAAAATCAATGTTCAAAGGAAAATGCTTACAAAATTATTTCATTGCAAAAACAATTTTAGGACAGTTTTATTATGTATCTTCCAGGTTTTAAAGCACACATTTTTATTTGCAGTATTGGTCTATCTTCAGTTATTACCATTATGCTACAGCAAATATGAAGTATTTATGCAGTTTAAAATGACAAGTTCTGCCTATAGAGAGCTTATCTCTAATTAACAAAATAAATGATTACTACTTAAAAAGCCAGTTGTTGCCTATTTTTAATTTTGATATCAGTACTTTGAAGGGAAAGATGAAAGTATCTGAAAGGCCAGGAAAGATGACAATGAACAGCAAAGGACATTCTGCTAGTATCTAATAATGGACAGTTTGAGTGATGGAGATGTGGTAAATTATCAGCAAAATACCATTCTTTGGTATTTTGGGGGATCTTTTTACCTTCCTAGTGTCTGAGAAGCCAGCCACAAAACTCAGCCATGAATGAAATATTCCTCAAGCTACCTAGATTTAGAAGAAATGAAGAGCAATGTAATTCTTAATATATCTTTTCTTCATAGACTATATGTGAATCCAGGGGAGCAGCGTAGGATGCTTTTGTGTTACCTCTATAGCATACTGGACATAGATGGTTTGTTAAAATAAAACTGATTGTCATCTTCCACACACAAATGTAGATATGCCCAGTTTATAATTGTATAATATAAAAGTCATGGGAATGAGACACTTTCTGAAGTGGATAAGGTCCTAGATCAGATTATATTCTTCCTAACTAATTTAGTCCTCTATGCTTAAAACTGAGAGCTCTGGTAGCATAGTGGCTAAGACACTTGCCTGCTAACCAGACGGCTGGCGGTTCAAACCCACCAGCCACTCCTCAGAAGGAAGGTTGGGCAATCCTACTTCCGTAGTGATACTGCCTCAGAAACCCAAGGAGGGGTCCCTATGAGTCGGGTTTGACTCGACGGCACATAACAACAACAACATGCTTAAAACTTAGTCATTGATTAGAGCACCTTATATTTTGAATACAATAACCACGCTATTTTATATGGTAGTAAAATCTACAGCAAAATATGATTTAAACTATCTCGGTTGTCCAAATGTGTGGATCTGTTAGTTGGGTTTCCTTTTTTCTGAGCTGACAGTGGAAGGTTGTTGATCTATCAAAAACAGATGTACATTTTCCCCATTTAGATTTTTTTAAAAGCAAAAATAATGTTCACAAGTTAATATGTAAGCTCCTTGAGGACAAAGACTTTGTTTTATTTTCTGTTTTATGTCTGGCACTTAATACCTGATACATAGGAGCTTAATAAATCTTTGTTGAATCTCCTATAAATTAGGTCAACTCAAAGAGATGTCTTTACATACTAATTCCTCTTATTTTTATATATGCAATTTCAGTAATGTAGTGCCTAAGGCACTTGACTGCTAACCAGAAGGCTGGCGGTTCAAACCCACCAGCCACTCCTTGGAAGGAAGATGGGGCAATCTACTTCTGTAGTGATAGTGCCTCGGAAACCCAAGGAGGGGTCGCTATGAGTCGGGTCCGTCTCGATGGCACATAACAACATTATTTCAGTAACTTTCTCTTACGTGACTTTTATAGTTGGAGGTGTGTAAAAAGAGAGTATAGTTAATTAAGTTTGATTCAACATCTGTAATTGTTAAAACATAAACTTAGTGAGATACTTAAACCTTAAGAGAGTTGGTGACAAGCAGAAGTCTAGTCAGACAACATACTTATTAAATCATCAGATAACTTACTTTATTATTTAAGTGAGAGAATATGGCTAGAGCCTTTCCGAGTGCTTTCAACATATAGGTTGTGTGGAGTAGAGTATTGGCACTGTGACATCGTTAGCAGGAAAACCAATCAGCTTTCCTAGTCATGTTTAATTCACATATTTTATTCTTATTGGTTAACCTTCAAAAGTCTTCCTTTTTAATTGAAAATAAAATCTAATTGGGCTTTTATTTTTATACCAGTGTAACTATTCAACATACTGATTTCTTTAGGGGGAAAATTTATTTCAATAATTGAGTAGTGCCATGTATAATTGATTGTAGCTAGCAAATATAAAATGCCACATAAATGCTATACTAACCATCAACAATATAACAAATGGAAGTAAACTAATTAGTCTTAAGTCATATTTAACAAATTAGAGAATAAATCTTCAACTAAATTAGAGACAACTAATTAAAACCAACAGCAAACCTACAATTTAATGTAGGAAGCAGTTCTTCCTGTTCTACACTATACAAATTCAGATTGCTACCAAATATCAAATTAACTTGAACATTCTGACCCCTAGCTAATTCCACAGTAATCAGATTTCCACTGGAAACTACATCTAAGGGCAAGTTTTGGTTTATTTTTTGCTTACTTAAAGTAATATGCAATAAACATTTGAATTGGAAAGGATTTTATGGGGGGTTATTAAATCTTAAGGAGCCTTAGTGGCACATTGGTTAAAGCACTGGGCTGTTAAAGCTTGGCCGTTTGAACCCACCAGGCACTCCAAAGGAAAAAGACATAGCAGTCTATTACAGTAAAGTTAACAGCCTTGGAAACACTCTGGGGTCTCCATGAGGCAGAATAGACTCAGTGGCAATGGGATTTTATTTAAATCTTAGACTTTGAGTAAATTTTTAAAAATACTCTTAATAGGATGTTGTTGTAGGTGCTGTCAAGTTGGATCCAACTGCTAGCCAACCCTATGTACAACAAACACTGCCCAGTCCTGTGCCAGCCTTGCAATCCTTGCTATACCTGAGCCCATCGTTGCAGCCACTGTGTCAGTCCATCTCATTGAGGGCCTTACCCTTTTTTGCTGACTCTCCACTTTACCAAGCATGATAGTAACAGGATATTAGACCTTAATATAGCTAAGTTTTTATTAGACTAGGTACTTGATGACTTTCTCATCTTTCCCATTAATATGGTTGATGAGGCATGCCTGATACAGCCCCTGCCTGCTGCCAAGTTATTTTCCATTCTTTTTCTAAGTTCTAGCCTTCTTTCCGTTCCAAAATGTGCTAGGTTCCCTACTAACTCAGGACCATTGCTGAAGGATTCATCCATCTAGAATATCCTCTGCTGTTTGCCGCTTCCCTCTTCATTACTCCCTTTCCTTCCCCACACATACTCTAACTGCTCTCCACACCCATAAACTCTAAGGAACCATCTGTGGAGAAACCTTTGACTCCCCTCTACTAGATCAGTTCTCCATTTACACTCTTGGCAATCTATCCTTTTTTTTCCATGACTTACTACAATTTAAAGTTGACTAGTGTGTCTCCACTAGATTGCAAAGTCTTAAGGTAACAGGAAACTATACTTTGCTCATCAACATATTCCCAACACAGAGTAGGCTAAAATAATTATGTCTAATTAGGTTCTATTCGCTCATAATTAGCATGTACATAAACTATCATTCAATTCAGTCTATTCTTTAGAGCACTTTTCTGATTTCATAATATGTAAGTATTTGATTTAAAACATTTGCTTCCTATGTTGCCATTGAGTTGATTTTGAATACTTAGGCTTTATTAAAGTTGAGCAATAAAGGGTCAACAATTCCACAATTCACACAGAAATATCTTATTGTAAACCTTATTATAAAAGTAATACATACAGTAAATGTCTGTGTAGCGGGAGTGTACCCAAGACCAGGTATAGGGTTGGCAGACAATGGTTCTACAAGTGTATTTGTATGTTATTTAAGAATTCCCAGGTGTACAGTAGGGAGCTCTGGTAGCATAGTGGCTAAGACACTTGCCTGCTAACCAGACGGCTGGCGGTTCAAACCCACCAGCCACTCCTCGGAAGGAAGGTTGGACAATCCTACTTCCGTAGTGATACTGCCTCGGAAACCCAAGGAGGGGTCGCTATGAGTCGGGCCGACTCAACGGCACATAACAACAACAACAACAACAGTAGAGCTAACAAGGGAAAAGTTTGTAGTCACTTCTTGGTCACAGACAGCTACCCAGAGGGAACGAGTAGTTGAACCTGTGGGCTGGAGACCACAGTCACAGGGGACATCATCAAGCTCAATTGGCATAACATACTACACGAAACATCGTTCCACCTCGTACTTTGGCAAGTAGCGACTGGGATCTTAAAAGCTTGCAAGCAGCCATCTAGATGCAATAATGGGGGTCTCCTCATTCAAAGCAAAGAAGAATGAAGAAAACCAAAGATTAATGGAAACAATTAGTCCTAGCGACTGGTATACCATGTGATCTGCAGCCTATAGGACTATGAGACCAGAAGAATTAGATGGTGCCCAGCTACCACTGTCAACCACTAGGAGGGGGATCTATGTAGGAGATCCTGGATAGAGAGGGAGAACAATGTGGAACAAAACTCAAAATCATTTGGAAAAAAAAAAGGGGGGGACCAGGTTTGATAGTCTGCTAGAGCCTGGTGGAACCACTGAGACTATGGCCCCTAGCTGCCCTTCAGGTCTGGAACTGAACCTACACTTGTGGCTTCCAGCCAAACAAAATATAGGCATATGAGTTGAACATTTACCTGAGGTAGATACCCTCCTTGGAGAGAACAATCATGGAAAAAAGAAGGGCTGTTTACGCACAGGGAGACAGCTCAGGGAGCAGGAGTGCATGGAGGGATGGACACAGGGAAGAGGTGACTATCAGGAGTAAGTGAGAGGGAAGCTGTTACATTGGGGTAAATTGTAGTCAATGTCATGAGACAAAGTATATGTGAACTGCTGTATGGAAAGTGAATTTGCTCTGTAAACTTTCACCCAAATCACAGTAAAAAAAAAATAGTAATGTATACAGTAAAAAAATACAGAATGATATAAGATGAAAAATAAAAATCCTCTTCCCCACCCTCCACTCTTTCAGTGTTTCAACTCTATAAACAGTTTATTTGAAATACTGAAATTTAATAAATACTCCTAACAAAATACAGGCTTTGTTTCTTCTCTGTTGGTTTGGTTTATATAGTGTTGAAATACGTTAAAAAAGGTAGTATGACTAATGTTACAGAGGAGAGTTGAAATTCTAATTTTATAAAATAAGGTTAACATTGGATTGCCAAAAGCACATTTTCTTCACATTTAATATTTCTTTCCCATTAAAATACTGCTCAAATACAGATAAATTTTATCCATTAGTGATCACCAAAGTTTTATAGTCTTATCTTGCAAATGTAGCAGAAATACAATTAAACAGTTGGTAAGCATGTAGAGATACAGCACAAATAAGGTCCACAAGGTACTGCTGTGTAATGTATCTACCATCAGGTTGATCAAGCCAGTTGTTACATTTGACAGCAAGAAAAAAAATAACTGGTTTCTGTTAATAGCTGTGATTAAACAAAGATTGGCTCTCTTTTCAGCTTCAGAGACTAGAGATTCAGACTGCTTTTCAGTTGTAGCAGATGACTGGATAAGTTTCCAAGAACATGGTACTAGAGGCCCCTTAAACAGAAATTTGGCAAAACTCAAAATTATATCACTCACTATAAAATTACTAAGAAAAATCAGGCTAGAAGCAACTATCCAAACACAAAATGCTAAATTGGCCATTCTTCGAGATACTGCTTCTGTATTTGCTTGAACTATGTAAAGACACATGAAGAGGCTAATACCTGTCAGTAGAAGACAATATATTACTTTGATCCAGTCTTTGATGTGTGATCTTTTATTAAGCAGGTATGACCCTGTTTGCACACCTGCCATGTATATTGCCAAATACCCCAAAATAGAGATTATTCCTTCTCGGTTGGCATTTAATAAACCAACCCTTGTGCCACTGCCATCAGTCCCATACAGAATTAGCCTCTTTAGTTGGGTAAAGTCAAGTGCTAGCTGGTATAATACAGCAATGCTGATGGCCACAATCCAGGATTTATTTAGGGGAAAAATAATCAAAAGCAGTGACGTTACCAGTTTCACAACTGCCAAGGTAAAAAAAAAGTTCCAGTGAACTCCATATTCAGTTAAATGTTCCTGATACGCTATGTATTTTATAATGACTAGTCGTCCTATTCCCAGGAAGACTAATGGCCAAACAGAGTGCAATGACTTTGTAAGGTGATAAAATCTGGATCCTTCTATGTTGGACTTTCTCTTAACCTCTGGACAAACCATTGCAGTCCCAAAAACAAAGCCACCTACTCCTAAATCCATTATTCCTGTCCCATAGAGTTCTGTTTTGGCAAATCTTCTGGGAAAAAGTGGGAAGTCTACAGCCAAAATGGCAATAGCAGTAAATACATGGTTAGTTACACGGAAACAGGAGATGGCTGGAATGTATTCTGATTCTACACTAGTTTTCAAGAAATTTTCAATGATTTTCTGCACAGGCACTCTGGCATAATAAGTCCTCTTGCAGTATATTTGATAGGCCAATCCTGCCACAAAAGTAATTATAGTGAGCTGCTCAAGGAGGAGAAATGAAGACAAAATGGTTAAAGTGGCCACCAAGGGAACTATCAGGACAACAAAGTCAATGAAGAACTGGGTTCTCCAAGTATATGAAGAACAGAAGTGCTGTAAGAGAACGATCAGCAGCCCTCTGCATAGGACACAAGGTGCAGGCAAGCACAAGACCTGCATAGTTTCCAGGATGGTGGTTCCATTGAGGTTACTGACAAAAGCTTCCTTCATCTGCTTTTGAGACATTTTTTTTTCCTCCTGTGAAAAAAACAGAGCAAAGGAATGGATTTACAGAAAGCAGTGTTCTTGTGGAATTGGCATATATGTAAAAGTGTGATTTTACTCTTATTAATGACTTCAAATCAATGCCAGAACCTAGGACTTGTGACTCTCCTCCTAAGGCTTCTAGGAAGAAGCCTAGCATTGATGTATTAGAACAGAAATGTCATAACTAATAGTTATGAAATTATTCATTAAAAGCTCATTTTAAACACCACCTAAGGGGCTTTAGTTATTCTCAGTATGAAGCAGATGCATAAAGAAAGTGAATTTGAAATACAAACCCTGAGAATGGCATCACAGCCAGATAGGAATTTCTGTTACAGAGCATAGACTATGTCAGAATATTACTGAATGAAAATTGAATACACATAACTAATGACTTTGAAGGAGCTCTGGTAGCATAGTGGTTAAGGCCCTTGACTGCTAACCAGTAAGGCTGGTGGTTCAATCCCCCAGCCACTCCTCAGAAGGAAGATGGGGCAATCTACTTCCATAGTGATACTGCCTTGGAAACCTAAGGAGGGGTCGGAAACCTATGGTTTTGCTATGAGTCGGGTCAGACTCGATGACACACAACAACGACGACTTTGAAGAAGCTCTGGTGGCATAGTGGGTAAGACATTTGGCTGTTAACCCAAAGGTCAGGGTTTCCAACCCACCAGCTGCTCTGCAGGAGGAAATGGGGCAATCTACTTAGGTAAAGACAGCCTCCAAAACCCTATGGAGGTTGCCATGAGTTAAAATCAACTTGATGGCAGTGAGTTTAGTTTTGGTTTTTTTAACTAAGACTTAAAGCCGAATTCACGTGTGTGTAGCTAGCTAGTTCTAAGTACACTTGAGTGTTTCTGTTCAGAACCTCTCTGAGCCTACTGCCTCTGGCACAACAGGCCAGTCCTGCAGTAAACTGAGCCCCTTACCTCCTAGCCACACCTTTTACAGATAGCCCTGTTTTCAGGTCATGGTGTAGGTAGGTTGGTTGGAATCTACTCCCCTACAGATACCACCTCGGAAACCAAAGAAGGGGTCACTATGAGTGGGAATTGACTCGATGGCAGTGAAACTCACTTGGTTCTTGGTTTTGGTGTAGGTGGTAAAAAAAAAAAAAAAATCACTGCAGTGGAGTCCTTTCTGACTCATACCACCCCTCCTTGGGTTTCCGAGGAGGTATCTCTCCAAAAGTAGATTGCCCATTCTTCCTTCCAAGGAGTGGCTAGTGGGTTTGAACCGCCAGCCTTTTGGTTAGCAGTCATGCCTTTGGCACTATGCCACCAGAGCTCTTGGTGTAGGTAAGTAGATGCTAAACATTGGGGTTGTGGGTGTAAAATAGTGTTGTTTTTTTTTTAAGAGAGATAAAACAACTTTCTGCTGCACATAAATACCTGAGAAGTGGTGCATTTTTTTTTTTTTTTGGTCAAACAATCACAATGAATGAACTCATTATAGGCGATCTGGGCCCAGCAGCAATTAAAAACCCACTGCCATCAAGTTGATTCTGACTCAGAGAGACCCCCACTGGGTTTCCAAGGCGGTAAATCTTTACGGAAGTAGATTGTCTCATCTTCCTTCCGCCAGGCAGCTAGTGGGTTTGAACTGCCAATCTTCTAGCTGGCAGTCAAATGTCTTAGGCACCGCGCAACAGAGCCCTGTAGCCTCACAACTGCCCCTCAGACTCTATGGCAAGGCCCTGTCAGGCTGTTGAGGTTTGAGGGCAAGGCGCAAAATTTGGCCACGGCTCCCTCTACGGACAGACCCAGCAACAATACCTCACTATAAAAACCCATACAAATCGGCTGGTCTGAAATAGTGTTTTTTCCCGACATATTTCCGCCCAACTACGCCCAGCCGGTACTGCTCACACGCTCCTGGTGGTCCCGTCTGCCCCCGGGCAGAAGCTCCTCTACGCGGGCCGAGCGACCCAGGTCCAATCTTACCCGCCGCATAACGCGGGAGCAGACCGCTTCCGCCTTCGAAGAGGAGGTGCTTCCGGGCGGCGCGGGGCAGCCTGCTCTTCCGGGCCGCCAGAGTCTGCACACGCCCCCTGCCCGCCAGCCGGGTTTTGCAGGATCTGCTGGGTCTACGTACTTGTCCTCTAATTTGGGCTCACCCAGGGCAGATCATCTTGGGTTGTGGCCATGGGTTGGTCTGTCAGAGGAGTGCCCGGGAACGGAAAAGCCGTGTCACCTCACAACTGCCCCTTAGACCCCTATGGCGATGCCCTGTAAGGGTGTTGGTGTCTGAGTGCCCGGCACAAGATTCCGCCACAGCTTCCTCTACGGAAAGACCCCAATCCCTGGCCAGGAGACCCAGGAAATATGGGCGGACATGTGTCAGGAAAAAGCACTTTTTCAGACCAGCCGATTCGTATGGGATTTTATAGTGAGGTATTGTTGCTGGGTCTTTCGGTAAAGGAAGCCGTGGCCGAATCTTGCGCGTTGCCCTCAGACCCCAACAGCCTGATAGGGCCTCGCCATAGGGTCTGAGGGCAGTTGTGAGGCAACACGGCTCTGGTGCACATTGCACTGACCCAGAGGGATGCTTCCGGTCCCTCTGCCCCGGGAACGCGGGAGACCCCAGCTTCATTTTACCCCAGGGTCTCAACATTTTGTCCCAAATCGAGCTCCTAGGCCTGGAGTTCGGGAGCTCTGGTAGAGGGTGCCTAAGGCATTTGACTGCTAACCAGAAGGCTGGTGGTTCAAACCCACTAGCCCCTCTTTGGAAAGAAGGTTGGGCAACCTACTTCTATAGAGATAAAAAGAAAAAACAAAAAACTCACTGCGGTTGAGTCGGATTCGACTCATAACAACTGCCTCGGAAACCCAAGGAGGGGTCGCTATGCGACGGATTTCACTCGAAGGCAGTGAGTTTGGTTGGTTTTGGCAGGCCTGGGTGGGCCACGTGCGCCAGGGGCGGCGGGGGCGGCCCGCCCCGGGGGAGGAGCACCGCCCCTGGGGAGGAGCCGGCTGGCTCCAGGCAGCTCGGCCCCTGCTTCAGCCAGCGGCGTGCTCTCGGCGGGTCCCGGCTTTTACTCCACCCGCTCCCTCCCCTCGGGCTTTTCCCGCCGCCTCTCCGGGACCTCCGGCAGTTGTAGGCGGGCCGGGCGGGGGCCGCTCGCTCGTCAGCTCGGGCTGTGGGACCGGTGAGTGCCAACCTTAGCCCAGATCCGCAGCTTGTCGCGACCCCAGCGGGACAGAGGGAGGCCAGTGTGCCCAGAGAGCTGAGGAAGAAGGGGACGCCTCCCCGTTCTCTTTCCCAAGAGCCCTTCCCATTTTCCTTTTGACCCTCTCCTGTCCAGGGAGGAGTTGGCCCAACTTGGAGCCCCTGCCTAAACTCAGGACCTTTCCACCTTGCTGACAGGAACTGGTCCAGGGTGGGGCGAGGGTCGCCTGTGGCAGGGTGGTCCGGGCTCCTTTTCTTTTCTCGGACTCCCCAAGGAACCGGCAAGGGGCGGCTGGCCCCGGGAGGCGTCAGAGCAGTTGTGTCCTTGGCTGGGGTCACGTCCACCTTCCTGGGAAGGACATACTCACCCCGTGTCAGGTGCTTCCGGGCGGCATCCCATCCCTGGGCCCGGCGGGCACCTTGCCTGGACGGGGAGTCCCAGGTTCCCGCCAGGAACCCGGAGGCGGAGCCCGCTGGGTCCCCCGACCTCTCCCAGGCTTCACGTCGCGTCTGCCCTCCCACTGCTGAGAAAACAGGTACAGGCTAGGGAGGAGGAGGTGGTGATCAGGTTGCCGCTTGCCTTGACTCGTTATTTCATCTACTCATTACTGTCTCTCTCCTTGCCCACAGTGGTCACACCCTTTCCAGAAATTCTTGGCTGGTTACGCAGTGGTTAAAGCGCTGCGCTGCCAACCAAAAAGTCAGCGGTTGGAACCTACTGGCTGCTCCGCGGGAGAAAGATGTGGCAATCGGCTTCTGTAAAGATTACAGCCTAGGAAACCCTACGGGGCAGTTTTACTCAGACCTCTAGAGTTGCTATGAGTCGGAATCACCTCCATAGCCATAGGTTTTTAACTGCGAAGTTTCGGAGAGACCAAGAGCCAGGAGAACTAGAGGAAACTGCTCTAAACTGCCTTCACTCGGACCGGAGCTGAGACTGCATCATAGCAACTAACATTTTCAAAGTGTTTTTACAGGTACTATCCTATTTAATCCTTAACTCAGCACTGTGAGGTCTAGATAATACATTCTGCAGATGAGGAACAGAATAGGGTTTAGAGAGTTCTGATGATCTATCTGTGTGCTAGGGGGGTTGTGGGTTTGTGGGCACAACATCTGTTGTGCTCTCTCTCTCAATCTCTATCTTAAAAGGAGCTCCTTTGTTCTCCTGGAGCCCTCTGAATGGCTGTCCCTCAGTCTGGCACGTTCACTGTCCAGGGTAAATGGGTCCAGCACAGTCCTGATGCCTTTCTCAGCCTGCATTGTCTTTTTGCTAATGTCCATAGAAGTCCTCATCTCTGCATTCAGAACCCCAAGAAAATTTCTGCCAGGATAAACATTTTTTGTCCTCATCCTTCCTTGCCCAGAAGACTCCAAATCTGAGGTTCACTTATGGTTCATTGGAGATTGAGCCAGACCTAGGCTCATAACACCCCCTCTCTCAGACACATTCTCTCCTCACCTCCTTGAAGTTGATTGGATTGTCCCACCTAATCAGCCTCCCTAATGGATGATCAATTCTTATTAACAGTACCCTTTGAGTGAATATATAGTTTTTATATAACTGTACTTTGTGCAATACTTTTAAAACATGACCTCGTTGACCTTCAGAAGCACTCCTTGTGAAGTAGATTTTACTGTCCCTGTTTTCAAAGTGAGGGACCAAGGTGAATCAGAGAGGTGATGAGGTTTATCCAGTGTTACACACCCAACAAGTAGCAAAGCTGTGATTTCCCTTTCCCTTTCTGTCTAACAGGGATAGGGCAGGAGGCTTCTCTGTTTCCTGTGTGCCTTCTGTATCCTTACTGGCACACGACCCAAAAGACTTGTAACCCCACCCCAACCCCTGTAGTAAAATTGGCCCTGAAGCTGCAAGAAGGAGCTAGGAGAGCCTTTGGAGGCTCTTGTAAAAGTTTCTCTTATTTCCTAATTGGTAGGGGTTAGGGCTGACTCTCTTTTCCCTGGCCAACTCTGGTTTCCAGGTCAGTTTCTCCAGCTTGGTGGGAGGAGCAGAAGTGAGTCAACTTGGAGAAGCCCTCATCTACATGTGGCCCTTGTCTCCTCTCTCATGCTACAGGCTCTAGGGTGATTTGTCTCCAATTCCTCCAGAACCAAGCCCTTGGCTGGATCCATGCCCCAGCCAGTGCTCCACGACTCCTCGTGCTTGGAATCCAGAACCCTGGCTGACCACAGTGAAGCAGGATGCTTCAGCAGGTAAAACCTCAATCTTAGGTAACCTAGATCCTCAAGCACCTGAGGCACCTTCTCAGCTTTTGCTTGCCTAAATGAAGGCTCCACTGCCCTTATCTGAATACCTGAGGGAGGAAGAGAAAGACCCCTTAAATGTCTCTTCTTTTCTCCATTGCCTTTTACCGTTCATAGCCAAAAAAACTCTTCATCATATCTAATTTGAATCTCTCCTGTTGTGGTTTTTAATTCTTTTCCTTGAAGTGGATAAGGTGGGATGGGTTAAGGAATCCATAGGCTACTTTGGTACAAAACTGAACTGGAGAGGGACCCTGAGAGATGTCCCTGCCAGGCTGAATTGTTGAGCACAATTGGAAGCCTGGGGCTTCCAAGAGAATGTGTCCCTTGAAGCTGAGCCTTAAGGAATAAGAAGGAGTTAGCCAGGTTGAAAAAGGAAAATAAACAGGTTAGGCAAAGAGATCAGCCTATATAGAACTGTGGGAGAAGATGACCTACGTGGAAATCTAGAAGGATTTTGATGAATAGATCATGGAGAGCATTACTATTGAGACATAAAACCTGCCGTCACTCCAGGCCTTTCTGGAAAGGCTGTCATCATGCCAGGCTGCTGGATTCCAAATCACCTTTGATTGTGGAGCTCCATTTCATACCCATCTTCTCCCTCATATGCAGCTCCTTGCCTAGGAAGAATGCCTATAGATATTTGCTGAATTTTTTTTTTTTTTTTTTAATCTTGCCAGGCACTGAGCTGAGATGTTTAAGATGGTCCCTGCCCTCAAGGTGGTGTAGTAGAGTACACCCGTGTAATCTAGCCTCAGGGCCTATCTGTCTTTAGGAGGAGGGATGAAAATCAAGATCACCACAAAACTGATTCTTTGCAGCAGAGGTCAGATATACCTCCATTCTCCAACTTATCAACATTTCTGATACCAGCCATCCTCCCTACAGCACTCTACTTCTCTGTTGGGTTTGATAATTCGTTGCAATGACCACATAATTCACAGACCATACTCACAATTACGTGGTTTATTAGGGAAGTGGCAGGCTACAACTCAGTATCAGGATCAACTTGGAAGTAACAGGATATAACTCAGGAGACAGGATATAATTCTTCAGTCAGGATAGCTTCCAACCAAGACAACTCTCAGATTCTTCTCAGCTGTGTCTACAGGCAAAGGCTTCTTTTAGCCATGCCAGCCAACAGGCCCTTCTTTGGCCTCTACTCTGCTTGAACAAGGTTACAATTCTTTAGCTCCACCAACAAGTGCCCAGAGCCACCCCACTCCACCAGCAAACCTCTTGCCTGAAAGCACTTAGCTCTCTGGCTCTGTGGGCTGGGAAGCCCACTGCAGCTGCCTTGCACTGGTCTCCTGGTTCCCACCACTCACTGCTGCCACTGTTTCCCTGCCACTGGGCTCTGCTGTGGTTACCACCATTTCTCACTGTCTTCGTTGTTATAGCTCTCTCTTTTTCCTGGATCTAAGGTTCTATGTACAGGGACCCCAGGTCTAAAGGGCAGGCTCACTCCAGGCTCTTGATGATAGTGAGTTCCTCTTTAACCTCTGTGGGATTGGCCTTTATATTCAATTTCAAAGCATGGCCCTCTCAGCCAGATCACAAATTAACCAATCCCCTCAGTAGACCATAATCAATCAATTTGCATGGTAATTGGCCAGTTCCCACAACATCACTTAATCTTTCTGTTTTATATACCCTATTTGCATGCTAAACTAACCAATCCCTTGCAAGATAATGGCCTAGCTGATCATTTTGGCAGCCTTATAAACCCAAAGCCAGAAAGACCATGTATAAGAGAATCCATCGCACTGCAACCCATTATTGGCACCCCAAGCAGGTAAGTGTCTGAGATTCACCAGGATAACAGTATTGGCCCAGCCAGCCAAGGGAGCCAAGGTAGCCAAGGTAGCCAGTGCTGCCTGACCTTCTTCCAGCCACTTGGTTCATAAAAAGCTTGAGAGCTGGAAAGAAACAGGCAGGACAGTTGTCTGCTTTGGGCTTTTTTATTATTTAATTTTATTTGTTCTTATCAAAAAAGCAATGATATTCACCATAATCATAGCAGGAGCTATTCTGTGTTGAACCATTGCCATTTGGTAGGGCCCTAAGATAAGAGTTTTACACATACAATTTTAATTTACTCTGCACAATAACCATATGAAGATGATACAGTACTATATATATGATATTATTATATTCCCATTTTGGAAATAAGACTCAGAGAGGTTAAGTGACTTATTCAAAGTCACATTCACTCTTAAGAAATTTGGAAAATGTAGACAAATAGAATATTAAAATTATTCATAATTGCATCACCCAGAGATAACCAATATTTTAGAGAATATCTCAGAATTTTTTTTTCCTGAATAAGCATTTTAAAAGCATTGAAAGATATCAGACTTTTTTGTAACTTACTTTATTCCATTGTATGAATATTTTGTATTACCACTGTATGAATAATAGATACTTTAAGCAACTCACTATTTGGACATCTTGGTGGTTTTCTATTTTTTATAATTAATAATAGCTCTTAAGACCTTTATTTAGGATCATTTTCTAGTAGAATGGCAAGCTCATGGAGAATGTATAGTTTTAAGGCCTTTGATATATACTGTCTATTTAGAAGAACCACTTTTCTTTGTTGTTGATTTTGTTCCTGTTGTTGGTTTGTGACTTTGGACAGACCCGTGTGTTACAGAGTAGAACTGTGTCACAGGGTTTTCCTGGTTGTGATCTTTACAGAAGCATATTAGCAGGCCTGTTTCCTCTGCAGTGCTGCTGAGTGGGTTCAAACTGTGCCAACCTCTTGGTTACCGGCTGAGCTACTTTTAAAACAATAATAATAGCGAACATTTTTGAGCTTACATCAGGGACCCTTTTCAAATACTTTATGTATTTATGAGGTAGTGCCTATGAGGTATAGGACCTCTGGTAGCATAGTGCCTAAGGCACTTGACTGCTAACCAGAAGGCTGGCGGTTCAAACCCATGGAAGGAAGGAAGGAAGGAACCATTGCTATTTGGTAGGAAGATGGGGCAATCTACTTCCGTAGTGATACTGCCTCGGAAACCCAAGGAGGGGTCGCTATGAGTCAGGTCTGACTGGACGGCACATAACAACATCAACAACACCCTATGAGGTACAGGGAGTCCTAGTGGTGCAGTGGTTAAGTGCTTGGCTGCTAACCAAAGGTTGGCAGTTATAACCTACCAGTCGCTCCATGGGAGAAAGATGTGACAGTCTGCGTCTGTAAAAATGGACAGCATTGGAAACCCTATGCGGCAGTTTTACTCTGTCCTATAGGGTCACTGTTGTAATTATAAGCTGTAATTGACTCAACAGCAACGGGTTTGGCTTATGTTTTTTGGAACTATAAGGTAGGTATTATCACCAATTCCATTTCACAGATGAGAAAAACTGAGGCACAAAGAGGTTAAGAAACTTACATGAAGTTATGCAGCTAATAAGTGGTAGAAACAGGATTCAAACCCAGGCAAAAAAATCTAACTTTGAGTTCAGGCTTTTAACCACCATGCTAGATTGCTTTTCTTATTAAATCAGAGTTTATAGCTTGTGGCAGGTTTCATTCTGTGAGTGAGGTTGGTTGGTTTGTTTGTTTGTTTGTTTTTTCGTGGAGGAGAGGAGTTTGTATGAATCTAGCCGTGCTCTAACCTCAGCACTTATCCTGGAAACCAACAGCTTGCCTTGTGTGTTAATGGTGGCCCAAATTCAGAAACAGACAACATCTTTGGAAAGAAACTCATTACTGACCACTTGGCTTGTCGCTCTGAGGAGTTTGAACTTTCATAGCTCACGAATCTCAGATGTCAGTAGAGACTCTGAAACATGCTTATGAATGGAGAGTAGCTAATGTGAATGGAAGAATAAGTAAATAAATAAAACAAATTTACAACAACTTAAAAGATAGGAAGTTTAAGGGGAAGTGAGTTTTTGTTAATGGGGAAGAACAACTCAGAGAAGAAGGGTGAGAATGGTTGTACAATAAATTATGGAGAAAAAATAAATACAGTGAATGGAAGAAATATGAAGTAAAACAATTGAACAGAAGATTTCAAAGGGCAGCTGGAGAAGACAAAGTTAAGTGTTACAGTGAAATGTGCATTTCTAATGTGGAGTTAGAAAATCAATTGGGAAGAATATACTCTAAATTTCTCAAACTGAAAGGACTGAAGAAAAAATTCAAGCCTCAAGCTGTAGTATTGAAGGATTCTATGGGCAAAATATTGAACAACACAGGAAGCATCAAAAGAAGATGGAAGGAATTCATGGAGTTGCTCCAAAAGAATTTGTTGACATTCAACCATTTCAGGAGGTATATGATCAAGAACCAACGGTACTGAAGGAAAAAGTCCAAGCTGTACTAAAGGAATTGGTGAAAAACAAGGCTCCAAGAATTGATACAATACCTATTGAGGTGTTTCAACAAACATGCAGTGCTGGAGGCACTAATTGTTTCTGCCAAGAAATTTGGAAGACAGCTACCTGGCCAACCAGCTAGAAGAGATTCATATTTGTACCCATTCCACATAAGTAAAATTTTGTTGAAGATAATTCAGAAACAATTGTAGCGGTATATTAACAGGGAACTGCCAGAAATTCAAGCCAGATTCAGAAGAGAATGTAGAGTGAGGGATATCATTGCTGATGTCAGATGGATCTTGGCTAAAAGCAAAAAATATCAGAAAGATGTTTACCTGTGTTTTATTGACTATGGAAAGGCATCCAACTGTGTGGATAAGAACAAATTATGGATAGTATTTTGAAGCATGGTGTGTTAGACTGGGTTCTGTAGAGAAACAAAACCCAGCAAAGCTTATATATATATAAAGAGAGAGAGAAATTTATCTTAGGAAAATGGCTCACAAACGTATAGAAGCCGGCAAGTCCAAAGTCCCTGGAGCAAACGTCAGGCTGGAGGCTTTTCCTAGCTTCTGCAACCGCAGGGGCCAAGAAGCTCAAGGCTGGCAGGCAGTACACCGACTGTTGACTCCAACGAATGACGAATCCAAGTTCTCCAGGCCAAACGGTGGACTGCTCACTCACGGACAGATGTAGTCAGCACAACAGAATCCCGATCCACAGAAGAATGTCTCTCTTCCCAGGATGTCCCTGGATATCCTGGAAGCAGGCCACACACTTAGGGAAACTCCCCTTGAACAGAACACACTCAGAACACTGTCATCCAATCCCATTATGGGAACAACCACACAGAACTGGGGTCCAGCCAAGTTGACACACAGCTCCAACTATCACACAAGGGGAGTCCAGAACACTTAATTGTGCTCATGTGGAATCTGTACATAGATCAAGAGGCAGTCATTCAAAAAGAATACCACATGGTTTAAAATCAGGAGAGGTGTGCATCAGGGTCGTATCCTTTCACCATACTTTTTCAATCTGTATGCTGAGCAAAATCTGAGAAGCTGGACTATATGAAGAAGAATGTGGAATCTGGATTGGAAGAAGACTCTTTAACAACCTTCAATATGCAGATGACACAACCTTGCTTTCTGAAAGCGAAGAAGACTTGAAGCACTTACTGATGAAGATCAGCGACTACAGCCTTCAGTGTGGATTACACTTCAACATAAAACAAAAATCCTCACAGCTAATAACATCATGATGGATGCAGAAAAGATTGAAGTTTCAAGGATTTCATTTCACTTGGATCCACAATCAATGCCCATGGAAGCAGCGGTCAAGAAATCAAACAACATAGTGTGTTGGGCAAATCTGCTGCAAAAGACCTCTTTAAAGTTTTAAAGAATAAAGATACCACTTTGAAGAGTAAGGTGTACCTGACCCAAACCATGGCATTTTCAGTAGCCTAAATGCATGTGAGAGCTGGACAATGAATAAAGAAGACTACAGAAGAATTGATGCATTTGAGTTGTGATGGTGGCAAAGAATATTGAATGTACCATGGACTGCTAGAAGAATGAACAAATCTGTCTTGGAGGAAGTACAGCTGGAATGCTCCTTAGAAGTAAGAATGCTAGACAGTCTTAAGTACTTTGGTCATGTCAGAAGGGACCAGTACCTGGAAAAGGATATCATGCTTGGTGAAGCAGAAGGTCATAAAAAAAAGGGGGGGAAGGCCTTCAATGAGATAGTCTGACACAGTGGCTGTGACAATGGGCTCAAGCATGGCAACAATTTTGAGTATGGTGCAGGACCAGGCAGTGTTTTGTTGTGTTGTACTTAGGGTCCCCATAACTTGGAACTAACTTGATAGCACCTAACAACAAGGACAATCTCATTGGAAACCCACAATCATGTCATGTTATAGATGTTTTCCTCCAAACCAGATTCAGCCAAGTCCCTATCTTCTACTCCCCAGTCCATCTTTTCTGTAGCCCACAGACCTGTGGGGTAGAGTGGGGAGAGGAAGCATGTACAAAGTTTTGCCATTGAGGATGGCAGAGGGAAAAAGCTCCTGTTCCCCTTGGTGGCCATTCTTGACTTCACACAACCTTCTGAGCCAGGCTTCCCCTCAAATAGACCCAGAGCAGAAGGAACTTGCCAGTCTAAATTTAAGACCCAGAAAGCAGGTGATGAAAGCATGCGGCTACCTCTCTAAGAAGATACAGCTCTGCTTTTTTCATTATTAGCTGAATGGTCTCTTCCAAAAAAGGCCCAGCCCTTGGATCTTTTCCTTTTCAGTGTTCCCATAGCAGCTACCTCCTTGGGGCCAACGCCTGCTGGCCCCAGTAAGGCTGGTAGCTAACCAGTCTAGAAGCCAACTTGGCTGGAGTTCTTGGCAAAGGAGAGGGGATTTCTTTTATTGATGACATACTTTGGGCCAGGCACTAAGTCCTTTGTATTTTCCCACTTATTTTCCTTCCCAGTAGCACTATGAGTTGGGTTTGTTTTCCTTTATTTATAAATAAGCTGCATCTCAGAGAGGTTAAGTAATTTACTTATGGTTAATAAGTAGCAAAACTGAAATTTGAACCAAACCAGACTGTGATACTAGAAGCTTATTCTACTATACAAGTTCCCACCCTTACGTAGCTGTTAGCTGGTTTGAATCCCTCATGACCATTACAACACTCATGTTATTCCCTTCCAGGTTAATGGCCACATCCTGGGCTCTGATGCCCAAACTGAAGAACCCCTCAAAGGAGAGCTGCAGGAGTTTCTGGATGGGGAAACCCTGCTGCACCAGCTCGATGACCTCACCAAGGTGAATCCTGTGACACTGGAGACAGGTATGGCCTCCCTGTCCCCAAGAGTACCATGTTCAAGTAGGTAGAGGTATGATAAGGACATTTGGCCTAGCTTCCCTGGATGCAGACCAAGGCAGGCAGGTCTCCTGGAGCCAGGTGGGCTGTTCCAGACCTCTGCCCCTGGGAGCCTGGCAGCTGTACCTGGGACTCCCCAGAGCAGCCTTAACTCTCAGTTTGGGATTCATCTTAATTAGATCTTGTACCTATTCATCAGGGATCTAATGGCACTTGCTAATTGCAGAGGGAGGGCTATTAGGCAGGTGTGTATCTGTATGAGTATTTGTCTGCATTTAAGTCAGATTTTGCTAATGGTGCCTATGCCTCAGTCCTGAGATGCCTGCAGGCTCGGTACACAATAGACACCTTCTACACCAATGCTGGCTGCACCCTAGTGGCTCTGAACCCCTTCAAGCCGGTCCCTCAACTCTACTCTCCAGAGCTGATGAGAGAGTACCACACTGCGCCTCAGCCTCAGGTAAAGCTCAGCCTCCTTCCTGTCACCTCAGGGTTCCCTGCCCTCTTCCTCAGCCATCCTGTGACTTCCCCATCCCTACCCATCTGTCTACCAGCAATGTAGTCATTTATAGTCTCCTGGTGGCTGGCCCCTGTCTGGGCTCAAGGGAGGCTGAAAGGAAGGTACCAACAGGAGCTCACAGAGTTGTAGTCAGTGGAGATAAATCAATCTTTGTTTAGCTGAATTTAGAGCCTAAAATAGGGACATAAGATAAAGGACTTTTATGTTCTTGTTATGGTTTATTAATAAGGAAAGTTATGTGAAGGTAAATTTGTATATTTAACAAGCCACCTTTTTGGAAAAGAATAAAATCACACGACATAAGAATTGCCGTAGAAAATCCAGCACATGTTCTGAGGAATAAATTCCTTTAGAGGTAGGTGGTGGTACAGGCAGGAAATGGGCTTATTGGTGTTAAAGTGCATGATGTGTTCAGGTAGAAGCAAGAGCAAACTTGTTGGAGGAGGGGAGCTATGGGGAGAGGGACAGATGAGGGTAGAAAGGTGAGATAAGCTGGGGAAGTTTGTGGAGTCCACAGCAGGCAGAGAGGCCACTAAGCTTCTTCACCATATGTGGAGGTAGAAGTGGTGAACCGAACCTGCTGTGGGAATAATTACTTGGGAGATTGGGGGAGCTGGTTCAGGAAAGTGAGACGGGAGGCAGCAAGAATAATTGGAGGCTTGTAATAGTCCTGGTGAGAGGCGTCTGGGGCGAGGGCAAGTAGAGAGGGGGACGGCTCTGAGACCATCGAGAATGAGTGCCCTCTCCCTTCAGGAAGCTGTGAGTAAGTGATCAGATAGTCGTGATGCTGCACCAGGCTAGGCATCCTGCAGGTAGATAAGCTCTTCCAGAAGCTCAGGCTTGGTTAAGTGTCCAAGGAGACTCTGGGGGAAATGTGTCCTGAGAGCCCCATATCTCACCTGTTAGGTGTCTCCTCAATGCCAAAAGCCATGCCACAGTCCCCTTTGTTTTCCCAATGCCCAGCACATTGAGGACAATTAATATTTGTGGAAGGAAAGGAGAACAGTGGCCTTAGAGTTCAAATCACGTCGATGGCCTTACTAGCTGACTGGTTTGGGGAAGGTTATTTAATTCTTCTGAAATTCAGATTTCTCATCTATAGGATTAGCTATCCCACTGATGCACAGATTTCTTTAGCAGTAACTTGTAAGAAGGTTCTTTGCAAACTGCAAAGAACAATAACAAAATAATCAACAGTAGAATAAAACTATTAAGGCAGGGTAAGACAGGGTAATGAGGTGCTAATGTCATACACTGATGAAAGCCAGGACTGCATCCAGGCTGAGAGAAGCTGAGTGGGTAAAGCCACCATGAGGGTCCCGCACTTGGGCCTGACACTATGTTAGGAGATTTTTCTGGAGGGAGCATCCTGGCACTTTCATTGGTAGCCTCTCTTCTCAGCCATCATTGGGTCAGCCACTCCTTAAAGAAAGGTGCTCATTTACCTGACGTTTCATTCCTTGATGTTTCAGAAACTGAAGCCCCACGTCTTCACTGTGGGTGAACAGACCTACAGGAATGTCAAGAGCCTGATCGAGCCAGTTAACCAGTCTATTGTTGTCAGTGGAGAGAGTGGTGCTGGAAAGGTAGGAGGGCCTCTTCCTCATCCTGTCAGCATCATGACTGGCTGGATGGCTGCCTAGTCATTCCCAGATAGGTTGGCTTAAGCAGGGAGTCAGTGTGCTTGCTGGGCAAACACTGGATAGGAAGTCAAGACACAGAGTTCTAGTCCAGGCTTTACCACTAGCTCTGATATAATTCTGAGTAAGATTATTTTATCTCTGGGCCATCATTTCCTCATTGAAAGTCACTCTAAGCTCTGATGCCATTGAAAACAAAAGCCAACTTTTGGGGATTACAGCATAGTGGTTAATAGCACATCAGGAAAGCTACTTAGCTTATGCAAACCTCACTTCTCTTGCCTGAAAATGATTTGGAGGAGAGGACCAAACAGTGTTGGATTACCTGGTAAGCAAAGTAAGCATAGGCCTAGTTGTGCTTACTTACTAATCTGTAGTGAACAATTTCACACTTTTTCCACCACATCAAAGATTCTGCTTCTAGGTATGGCTGGCATCTGTCTCTCTCAGCTCTGCAGCACCTTCCTACAGAACGGAAGTGTCTTTTTAAATTTACAATCACTGATAGGGACAGGGTACCCAATAAAGCAACATAAGCATGGGCTTACTTGTGCTTGCTTATTTATCCATAGATGTGAAACTGTTCACTACAGATTAGTAAGTAAGCACAAGTAAACCCATACTCACCTCGCTTATTGGGTAATCTGCTACTGGGACCAACACCCAACTTGGGGACTGCTGTGAAGGTTACATGAGCCAGTGTACATAAAGCACTTGCTGGCATGCTTGGCACATGGCTGTGCTCTTCCAATAGTGACTGGGATTACTTATGAGAAAGGGTTTATTGGAGCAGTCTACCCTGTGTCCTCGGAGTTGCTCATGCTGGCAAGGGTAGTGCATTGTGCCAGCCATGGGAGCAGACAAGCTCCTGGTGTGGCCATGTGGCTGCAGGGTGGCAGAAGCACAACAGATGAGACAGAATGTTGTACAAGGATGAGGGAGGAATTGCATAGCTGGTCCGGGGAGGCTAATGGCCCAGGCCTCACCACCGTCTCACTAAGCTTCACCCAGCCTTTCCACAGGACTTCCATCTTCACAAGAGATTCTTTGGACCATGAACTCATTCTGCTTATACCCATGTATGAGAAAATTGCTGAGCATTGAGCACCTGCCAGGTTCTAGACCTGGACTAGACACTGAGGTCTGGCAGAGAGAGAAACAGAGATTGGAAAATGTAACATCCAACTCTCAGGGGCCACTTAGTCTACTACAAAACAGACAAGGAAACATTCTAAGACAGTAAGGTGCAGGGATGAGGGCTTGGACTCAGGTGAGGAGATGGTATTTCTGAGAGCTATCTCAAGGGGCCCAGGTGATACCCAGCTTCACTGACAAAGCCCACTGTCTACTGGAGTTGCTCAAGGGAGCTGAGGCTGGACCTGGCCGGAGACCCATGCAACCAGAGCAGCAACCCTTTATTAAGCAGCTGCTGTGGCCATAGACTGAGCCTAGTATGTGTTTAAAATTTAATTTTTAATTTTTTTTTTTTTTAATTTTGATTTGGGTGAAAGTTTACAGAGCAAATTCATTTTCTGTACAGTAGCTCACATACACTTTGTCTCATGACATTGACTGCAATTTCCCAAATGCAACAGCTCCCCTCCCATTTCTACCCCATAGTTACCCCTTCCCTATGTTCTTCCCTCCCATGCTAAAATTTAATTTATTTTTAAATAAGAAATATAACTGCATAGTTGAAAATCAAGCAATACTACAGGGTTTACAAAGAAAAACATCAACTCTGCTTTATCTCTCAACCCTCTTTCCTCTCTCCACATCTTTTAGCAGTTTGAGTGTATATACATCCAGTTTTCTAAACAACATAAGTATATTGTTACTTCTTGATTTCTCAGATTTTTTTAGCTTCTTATTTTGATGAGGACTTAGCCCCTATTACCCTGCCCCATACTCCATATGTAATTATACCATAATTTTTAATTAAGTCAATATGCAATATTTATATTATTATGACCATGTATCTGTTATTTACAGATGAGCCATGTAATATAATAGATTTCCTTTCTTGTATACTTTTTATTTTTCTTCTACTTAATAATTGTCCCATTTTTTCACTTGCTTAGTTTCTGTATAACCAAAACCAAACTTGTTGCTGTCAAATCAGTCTCAACTCATGGTGACCCTTTGTGTTTCAGAGTAGAGCTGTATTCCATAGAGTTTTCAAAAGAGCATCCAAGAGCTATGGTACGGTGTCTTATGGTCTACCATACTTGTAATTGGTGTCCCAGAAAGAAAAGAAAGAGAACGTGTGTTTTACAAAATTAATAAAAGATAGCAAGCACAAATCCAAGAAGCTCAGGATGAATACAAAGAAAAACACACTTAGGTATGTTATAGTCACACTGGAAATAGAAGGGAACAGATAAAGGGCTTCTATATTTAAAAAAAAAAAATCTATCCTGGAAGTGCAGCTGGAATGTTCCTTGGAAGCAAGAATGGCCAGACTTCGTCTCACCTACTTTGGTCATGCCAGAAGGGACCATCTCCTGGAGACAGATACCTGCTTGGTAAAATGGAAGGTTGGCGAACAAGGGGAAGGCCCTCAACAAGATGGATTGACACAGTGGCTATCATGATGGGCTCAGGTAAAGCAAGGATTGTGAGGCTGGTGCAGGACTAGGCAGTGTGTCATTCTCTTGCACAAAGGGTCACTATGAGTCGGGAGCCAACTTGACGGCACCTAACAACAACATCGCTAACATCATATTTAATGGTAAGAGACTAAATGTTTTCCCCCTGGAATGGAAAACAAGGCAAGGATGTCTGTTGTTACCACTTCTATTCAGTGTTGAAGTAGAAGTCCTAAACAATGCAATAAGGAAAAGATTGACTGGAAAGGAAGAAATAAAGTTGTTTTCTCTGCAAATGACATGATTTTCTACATAGAAAAACCTAAAGAATTTACAAAAGAAAGCTACTACAACTAAATCGTAGTGAAGTGTACAGAGTTTAGCAAGGTGACAGGATACAAGGACAATGTATAAGAATTCATTGTATTTCTGTGTCCTGGCAATAAACAATTGGAAATGAAAATGAAACTATCAGCTTAGCTGATTAAAAACAAGAGTAAGAATTTTATAATTAGACTGTTTTGAGTTTAAATCAGAACCCTGTCATTTAGTAGATGTGTGATCTTCAACAGGTGTCTTAATTTTTCTAGGCCTTGGTTTCATCATTTTAAAACTAATTTGTATAAACCACTGTGGAAAGCAGTATGGTGATTCCTTAAAAAGTTGGAATTAGAAATACCATTTGATCCAGCAATCCCATTTCTAGGTATATATCCTAAAGAAGTAAGAGCCAGAGGGAGGAAGTAGAAGGGGAGCTGTTGCATTATGGGAAATTGCAGTCAATGTCATGAGACAAGGCATATGTGAGCTGGTGTATGGAAAGTGAATTTGCTCTGCAAACTTTCACCCAAATCACAATAAAAATTAAAAAGAAGTGAGAAAATTGTGGTCAATGTCATGAGACAGAGTATGTGAACTGCTGTATGGAAAGTGAATTTGCTCTGTAAATTTTCACCCAAATCACACACAAAAAAAAGAAGTGAGAGCCAGGACAATATCAGATAGACACACACCCATGTTCATTGCAGCACTATTTACAATAGCAAAAAGATGGAAACAACCTAGGTGCCCATCAATAGAAGAATGGATAACCAAACTATGGTACATACATACAGTGGAATACTATGCAACACTAAAGAATAATGTAGAATGTGCAAAATACCACAGAATGTGGATGAACTTGGAGGACATTATGCAGAGTGAAATAAATCAGTGCCAGAAGGACAAATATTGTATTAGTTCATTATTGTAAAAAGTCCAGGAAAGGTTTATACATGGGAGGAAACTTTCTTTGTTGGTTACCAAGGGTGGAAAGGGAGAGGAGGAAACACTGCAAAATTTTTTAAAAATTAAAAAAAAAAACCTTAGGTTGTATGCTTACACCAGCATCTGTAAGGTTGGTGAGACATGCACAGAAAGCCTCCAGAGCTCGATGGCTGCCATGGAGTCAGCAGTGTTGACTGAGGCCTCAGAGACACTGGATAGCTAGGGTCAGGGGCCTTGTCCCTTCTCTGTCCCAGCTCCCCTTGTTCCTTTCTTTTTTTAATTTAGGTGAAATCTGTATAACAAAATTCTAGATATTTCACATAAATGGAATTATATAGTTTGTAACCTTGGTGTCTGATTTCCTTTACTTAGCATGATATTGTCAAGGCCCATGCACATTGTATCAGTATTTCATTCCTTTTTATGGCTGTATATATTCTGTTAATGTATACATCACAATTTATTAATCCATTCATCCATTGATGGACATTTGGGTTGTTTCCACCTTTTGGCTACTATGTATAGTACTGCTGTGATCCATTAAGTGCATTTTCTGCAACCGAGAAAAGCAGAGATGAGCACCTCCATGTCACAGGTAGGGAAGTGCCTTGCCCATGGCCACAGAGTTTCATTCAGCATTTACCCATTTGGTCAGCAGCATGCATGGGTATGAGGAAGAGCTCTGGTGGGGACTGGTCCCTCAGCTGTGTCAGGAGCAGGAAGGAACCTGGGCACAGTTCCCACACTTATTTCTGCTGCAGACATGGACATCTCGCTGCCTAATGAAGTTCTATGCCGTGGTGGCCTCCTCACCTGTGTCCTGGGAAAGCTACAAGGTCGCAGAGAGGATTGAACAGCGGATCCTAAACTCCAACCCTGTCATGGAAGCTTTTGGTGAGCTCAGTGTTCTCTGCACAGCACCTCCATCCCATTTCCTGTGGGATCTGCCACCTTCCTGGGCGTGGGGTAGAGCTTTGATACTTTCTCTTAGAGGGTTGGAAGATGAGTGTATCCTTCACTGGCTTGGACCCCCAGCCTCCTCCCAGGTATCCCTTAGGACTTCCCTCCTATATAGGCCTGTCATTCTATCATCTCCCTCCCTCCAGCCAAAGCACATATAACAGTGGTGCTGAGAGCACCTCATGGCTCATCTAGTCTAAATCCTATCCCACCATCCAGTTTCCTGATGGTCCAGAGAAGAAAAGGACCTAAGGACAGACAGTAATGAGTATCCAGGTTGTGACTAGAGCCCAGACACTATGCCTTACTATCTAAGCCAAGTGACAGCTTGCTTTCAACCCTTTCCCTTCAGAGGAGGTGGTCCCTGACTGCCTAGGCTTGCTCATCCCACTTCTCTGCCAGGAAGTTGTTCTAACTCTCCTGAATGCCACTTGCTGAAGCCTGAGTACCCATCTCCTACTCCCATCCCCTGTGACGTGGAAATTAGCAAAGGTGACTTGATAGGGAACCTGCAGCTATTTTGACATACATGAACTCTGTAAAGTTTGGGGGCAGGAAGTGTACAATATTAACATAGGTGTGGTTTGTAGGGAATGCATGCACGCTGAGGAATAACAACAGCAGTCGTTTTGGGAAGTTCATCCAGCTGCAACTGAACAGGTAACAGGTGCTGCCACCGTGGCTAATACTGGGTGGGGAGCGGCACCACAGGAAGTGGCTGGGGCAAGGTCTAGCCTGGACCACCCTCTGGGCAAAACCCACTTCAGGCATGTATATATATATAGGATTCTTTAGGATCAGTGAGCCCTGAGGGTGGTCACTGGACCTGGAGAGCTGTAGCTGCTCTGACCATAGCAGTTCTGCGGCATTGTGCTTGTCCTGGGTGGCTTGTGTGTTCCTCGTGGCTTCTAGCCTTGCTCAGGAACTTCTAATTAAACTGCTGCCTCTCTGAGTCATGCCCTGAGCCGAAGGTGAGGTTTCTGCTCCTGCTTGGGATACAGCAGAGTGATGCACAGAGGCCTTGGTCCTTCCTACCTAAGCTGGGTACAAGGGGATGTCCCGACCGCCAGAACGTGCTAAGCAGTCCACAGCCCTCGGGGCCCCTTTAGCTAAGTAAAAGAGCCTGGAGAGGAGTGTAGGGGGAGTTGGTGGGTTGCAGTCTGGCACACAGTAAGTGCCTAATAAATGGTTATGAAATGAATGAACAATGGGTTCTGCTGTGTGTACCCAGGGCTCAACAGATGACTGGAGCTGCAGTCCAGACTTACCTACTAGAGAAAACTCGAGTAGCCTGCCAGGCCTCCAGTGAGAGGAACTTCCACATCTTCTACCAGGTCTGTGACCACCACCTGTGGGGGCCACAGCTGCTTCCCCCAACCTAGCCTGCCCCCTCCCTCACCAACCTTTGAGCAGTGCCACCACTCCTTCCTGTAGACTCTGTGGCACCTCTGTCTCACACTGGACCTTGATTCCCTGTATGGTTTTGTCCTGGGTGTATGTTTTGACTCCTCTATCTGATCAGAAGGTCCTTAAAGCTGGAATTCCATCTCTAGGATGAAAGCTATGTCACCCCATCAGACTGGGGGTTCCTAGAATGGCAGCTATCTCCTCCAACAATGAAGGCTTCCCCAAGGCACGGGTGGTCTGTCTCCCCTGACTTTATGCCGCCTCAGTCAGAACTGGAGGCTCCCCAGGGTGGGAGTGCTGTGCTTTCCTCCTCAGGCTATCGGCAGGGGTTTTTGTGGGTTTTGCATTAGATTGGAGACATCCAGAGCTCTGCTTCTTTTCTTGTCCCCATGCCTGCCCCGGGCTCTCTACCGGCACCTTTCAGCTTTGTGATATTGCCCCCATTTCTCACTCATCTCTTCCTAAACCCAGGCCTATGCAGGCCTGGCCTTCTCTCGTACCCCTAGCTCAGCCTCCCACCTGCCCCTGCCCACAGATCTGCAAAGGAGCCAGTGCAGACGAGAGGCTACAGTGGCATCTTCCTGAGGGAGCCACCTTCTCCTGGCTGCCCAACCCAGAGAGGACTTTGGAAGGTAGGGGGCACCTCACCCAGCACCCTGGGCTGGCCCAATACTCCCACCCACTCTGCAGGACCTGCCTCTCTCATCCCTCACCACCCTGCTGACCTTCTGTTGTGCTGACACTGGGCTGAGACTTGGGTTCTTTTTCAGAGGATTGTTTTGATGTGACCAGAGAGGCCATGCTCCATTTGGGCATCAGCACCCTGACCCAGAACAACATCTTTAAGGTCAGAAGGAATTCCCCATCACTTACATTTGGCAGAGGCAATGGGGACCCCTTCATAAGGCCCTTCCCTGTGGATCCAGCACCTTGAACCCTGCTGGCAATCTCTAAGGAGCTCTGGTGGTGTAGTGGTTAAAGCATTTGATTGCTAACCAAAAGGCTGTCAGTTTGAACCCACCAGCCACTCTGCAGGAGAAAGATGAAGAAGGCTGCTTCTGTAAAGATCTACAGCCTTGGAAACCCTATGGGGTAGCTCTCCTGTCCTATAGGGTCACTATAAGTCAGAATCAACTTGATAGCATTGGGCTTGGTTTTTTGGGGGGGTTGTCTAGTATGTTAAAATGTAAACATCACAATTCACTTACTTTTTTCAACAGTCCTATGTGTGTGGAGATTAATATTCCCCCTTTATACTTGAGAAAATCAGAGAGAGAAAATGACCTGCCCCAGGTCAGACATTCCTCCATGATACAAATAGAGTCTGTACCCAGCTTAATAATTCCCAAGTCCCACCATCTTTCTCCTGCCTCTGTCCCCCACCTCTCCTTCTTGGGATGTAGTGCTGGCTTAGGGACCCATCTCATCCCTACTCATGGCCTCCCTAGTCCCAGCTGCCTTTGCTGACAGGGCTGACTGAGTCCCATTGCCCCCCACACCAGAGCACTGGGAGGAGACAGGTCGGTGTGGCAGCAAGGACAGAGAAGCCAGTGCAGGGAGATGGCAGTTCTCTGGAAAGTGGCCTCCACCTCCCAGTGGGGGCTGCTTAGCAGGGTGGGCATCACCAGGAAAAGCTCAGCCGGAAGGACAGCACATGGAGATAAACCCAGGATGAGGGGACAATGCTAGAAGTCTAGGCAGGAGTGCGCGTCTGAAGGTGGAGTGCCTCTCTGCCCAGACACACTGCCCTCTGGACTGTCTTCTCCTGGGAGAGGTTGTGTGCAAGAGGCCTGTGGCCAGAAGGCCAGGAACATGTGTGGAGGCAACCTGCCTGGGATGAGGGGCTAATCCTGGTCTCCTGGAATCATGTTCAGAGGTTTCTGAGTTCCTGGCCCAGAGTCTCCTTTCTGCAGCCCCTGGGGGCTTGTCCATTAAATCTGATCCACAAGTAACAGAAAAGTGATATTCCCACTCACACAGTCTTCCTTGACAGTGGGAGGCAGAGGGATGGACAGTGGGTAGATGTGGGTACCCACTGGCTGCCCAGGGAAGCATCTGAAGTCAGACTGCTTGGGTTCAAATCCTGGCTTTACCCTTTACTAACTATATGGCCTCAGGCTTGTCCTTTTTCTTCTCCAATAATGAGCATCATCATAGGCCATACCTCATAGGATTGTTGAAAAGTATAATTGAGATGATTCATGGAACTTGCTTCCATCGTGCCTGGAAGAGACATTTAGTAGGTGAGCAATAAATGTGAGCTACTGTTATTATCCTGTATCATGATTGTATTCAGCAGGAAAGAGGTGCCTCCCAGGTTAGGCTTTAGCCCTTGAGGAAAAGGTGGCCACTTCATGCTTTCTCTTCTCCCTTAGGTCCTAGCGGGGCTGTTGCACCTTGGCAACATGCAGTTCGCTGACTCAGAGGATGAAGGCCAGCCCTGCCAGCTGATGGACTATGCCACATGTAAGCAGGGCAGGCTGGGGTCCTCCCAGGAAGTCATTCAACATAGGTGGGGGTGGGGGTAGGGGTGGGAGTGGGTGAGTGGGAAGTTTCTTCATTGTTGTAGTTGCTGTCAGGTTGATTCTGACTAATTTTGAATCTGGTGCCTTCAGTTAAGCCACCAAAATTAAATCTCAAGTTCTGTTCTGAATAATTTACTCCTCCCTCCATCTCTGGTGAGGGAGTCACTTTACAAATGAGATAGAGCTTAGGTGGCACAGGAGTTGAAGCATTCAGCTGCCAACCAAAAAGTTCAAACCCACCAGCTGCTCTGCAGGAGAAAGAGTAGGCAGTCTGCTTCCATAAAGTTTGATAGCCTTGGAAACGTTCTGGGGCAGTTCTCTGTCCTATAGGATCGCTGTGATTGGAATTGACTCAACAGCAGTGGGTTGGGTTTGGTTTTTACAGATGAGAAAATAAGACTAAGAGAGTTTTTAAAATGATTTATCCCACATGTGGTAGTGTGGGCTAGGACATAAAGTCCCAGGTTCAAATCCTGGCTCTGCCCCTTGTAGGGGGCCTTCAGCAAGGCTCTTCACCTATCAGAACCTAGGTTTCCCCTGTCCACTCAGGTGAGTCATGGCTGCACTGTGGGGACTTCCCAGTGCTTTATGGAGGGGACTGTTCAGATGGAGGGTGCTTTGCCTAAGGAGGATACATTCCTCCCAGGCGCTGTCAGCACATCGGCCTCACTGCTGTGGCTGCCCGAGGACACACTGCTGGAGACTCTGCGAATCAGAACCATCAGAGCAGGCAAGCGGCAGCAACAGGTGTTCCAGAAGCCCTGCTCCCGAGCCGAGTGTGACACCCGCAGGGACTGTCTGGCCAAACTGATCTACGCACGGTGAGCAGATCCTCTGGGCCCAGCCTTGCCCTGGGCTCCTCTCACATTCCCCTTTCATCTGAGGTTGGACCAGCTGCCATAAGGCAGGGTGGAGGCGACCAGATAAAGCAGACCCAGTTCCTCTCCCTGTTCCTCAGATCCCAGGGATAGGGCAGGAGGAAGCTCTCAAGTTTTCCCTGAGGTAGAACCCTTGGCCTCTACTCCTGAGTGCTCTAAGTGGGGAAGTTGCCACATACCTGGCCTAGATTCAGCTCCAGTTGCTGTACAGAAGCCTGCCTTGACCTTGGCCCTTAGTGATGGAAACCCACCTGGCACTCCACTTAGATGAATAGGATTCTCTGTCTCCTTGTACCCTTGTCTCACTTAAGGCCTTATTTATTCTCTGGGGGTAGGGTTAGAAACTCAACTCACAGTCTTGGGCAACACACTGAGCAGTAAGTGGGAGCCCACTTAAGGATTGGGGACCACCAACACTTAAGGTTTGGTTTCTCCCTAAGAAGGGCTTCAGGGGCTCAGAATCCTCTGAAATTATGAGACAGAATATACGTGTGTATGTGTAGCATGTGCATATGGGAATTTGGGCACTCTTTTTAGGAGACGGTTCCCCTTCCACTTTTAAGAGCCTCTCAAAAAACCAAGAGTCTGAGAAGCACCACTGAGGGACAAGATCCTCCAGTTTGAGAATGGCCCAGAGCTGCTGGGCCCAGACGAGACCATTTCAGCAAGAGACTCAGTTACCACTGTTTTCAAGCAAATTTCAGGTCAAAGACTTTTAACAGCCTTTGCCTGCATGTCACTGAAAAGTGAACAGATAAATTGTGATAATTAGAATGAGTTTCTGACCAAGGCATCTTACACACGATAACCATTACTCAGGTCATTGTGGCACTAGGTTAGTTAGTGAGTATTTCTTTATTTCGGTACCTCTAATGAGTATCTTAAAGGAGCTCTGGTGGTGTAGTGCCTAAGGCATTTGACTGCCAACCAGAAGGTTGGTGGTTCTAATCCACCAGCCAATCTGTGGAAGGAAGATGGGGCTAGCTATTTCTCTAAAGACTTACCACCTTGGAAATCCAATGGGTTCGCTATGAATCAGAATCAACTCGATGGCAGTGAGTTTTTTGGTTTAAAGAGTATTTGAAACCACTGTTGCAAAAAGAGAGCATTGAAATCCAACCGAACTGGGAAAAGCTGCAGGGCAATTACTTTAAGAAAAGTGGTCAAGAAGAAACACCTCAGTAGTGTTGTACATCTCCTCACATCGTACAGTAACTACGTCATCTTCTCAGGGATGGGGGTGGCTCCAGAGCAGAGGGTGCCATTGTTGATCTTGAGTGAATTGGGCCCCTTTGTGTGGGACTGAGTTGCAGCAGGTGGCAGGACCTTGGGCTCTGGGCTGCACCGGTAGAGCTTTGTAGGGAACTCATGTAAACTCAGTTATTTACGAACTCAGGCTTGCCAACCAGCCCCTTCCAGTCAAGACCGCAGCTGGGTGTCAGGCCGTGTGTTCCAGTTGATCCTGGGTTCAGTCTTGCTGGGAGGATAGTCCAGGTTCACGTGTCCCTGGGAACATACCTAGCCATAGCCTACAGGTGCAAGAGGTCAAGACAGATGGACAGGAAACAGGAGGAGAGGGTGTATCCCCCATGTCAGGCTCAGAATGCAGGGCCTTCCAGGGTGTGGCAGCCTGGCTGCTGAAGCTATTTTGCCAGCCCTTAAGCTTACCAGAGTCCACTCTCTCTCCTCAACAGGCTCTTTGACTGGTTGGTATCAGTGATCAACAGCAGCATCTGTGCAGACCCCAACTCATGGACCGCTTTCATAGGTAGCAGGGCTCACCATACCAGGAGCATTCCTTCAAAGAACAATAGAGCCCTGGACTGAGGGTCGGGAACCCTGGATGCACTGTGTGACTCTAGGGAACTCCTTTCCCTTGTCTGTGCCCAAGTCTCCTCATCCATCCGCCGTCGGGCAGGGAGAGCTCTGTTCTCTGCAGTGCCATCTGACCCATCCATAGCTCTCCAGGCTGATTCGGATGGTGCCTTGTCTATCTCAAGGAGAGTAGTGGGGGATGGGTGGGCTTGTTTAGAAAGGACTTGAGGGACATGACTGAGGTCAAAATCATTGAAACCTGGGTGGGATTGTCAGATAGGGGAGGAAGTAAAGCTCAGTTACCAGTGAAGTTTGCACAGGGAATGATGGAATTCTAAGCACCAGCTGGGAAGAAGAGACCAGGCCCCTCCAAAGTGGATTTGATGCAGAAAATGTCCCCTGAGACCTCATTCCCTTTCAGGAGTGTCCAGAAGATTCAGACTCAAAAGTGGGCTTGGTGCCCTGGGCTGCTCCTCACACATTTTTCTACCTTTTCTGGGTTCTGAGGAGGCATGGGGTGAGATGGAGGCTCCCCTGGGTACGTGTTTGGGGGAGAGATTCCTCTGCCCACTGCTGAGTGTCACGCTCATTCCGCCTCAACTCCAGGCCAAGCATGAGGCTTTGGCAGCAGCTCAGCTCAACCACTCCAGGCTCCCATAGTCCTCCCACCCCCACTACTCCTCACAGTGGCCCCATGGGTTCCCCTCCCTCCTTGCAGGCCTGCTGGATGTGTACGGATTTGAATCATTTCCTGACAACAGTCTGGAGCAACTGTGCATCAACTACGCCAACGAGAAGCTACAGCAGCACTTCGTGGCTCACTACCTAAGGGCTCAGCAGGTGAGTGGTAGCGTAGTGTGGGGTGGTCCTTCTGGATGCTCTGACCTCTTCCTGGCTCCAGCCCCATCCCAGGATCTGACTAGCAGCCTTTTCTTCCTTCTTTGATGCTGTTCTGGAACATGCTGTGGTACTGAGGCCAGCCATGGACTGGCCAGTTTGGGCCTCAGTCCACACTCTTCTCCTGACCTTCTTACCTTTGTCCTCTAGGAAGAATATGCAGTTGAGGGCCTGGAGTGGTCATTTGTCAACTACCAGGACAACCAGGGCTGTTTGGATCTCATTGAGGGGAGCCCAATCAGCATCTGCTCCCTCATAAATGAGGTGAGGAGGGTCAGCTAGTGAGCTGAGCATCAGAGATGTCTTTGGGCTTTCTCTGGGGCCTTGGTGACTAGCCCATGCCCTGTCTGGACCTCTGCCTCCCCATCTGCCAAATGGGCTTGCTAGTCTCTACATTCCTTGCCTCTCAGGATTATTATGATGCCTGGGGAGATACTTGTGACAACTCTGCTGTCATGGGGATGACAGGGTGGGACTGTGAGTACTGTGGTGAGACCCTCTCATTTCCATGGCTGAGCACCTACTGCTCTCCCACACAGGAGTGCCGCCTTAATCGGCCAAGCAGTGCAGCCCAGCTCCAGACACGCATTGAGACTGCCTTGGCAGGCAGCCCTTGCCTAGGCCAGAACAAGCTCAGCTGGGAGCCCAGTTTCATCGTGGTGCACTATGCAGGGCCCGTGTCCTACCATACTGCCGGCCTGGTAGAGAAGAACAAGGTGAGTGCTGCACCTTGGCCGTGGGAGCCTGGGTGAGGTGAGAGGCTGGAGTTCCCATCATGTGTCCTCTCCCTCCTGAATGTCCTCCCAGAATCCAGATCACCCTCTTGGGCCCATCTGCCTGAGTTCTTGGCTAGTCCAGGCCTTACCTGATTACAAATGATTCATGTTAGACTGGGTCTCTTGCCTTCCAGTGGACCCACTCTTCTCTTGGACTTGGGCCCTGCTGTTCCCTGGAAGCCCTATCTTCTGGGGTTGAGGTGGCCATGAATAAGCTGCCTGTGGACAACCCTAGGTAGCAGCTCTACCTGCACTCACCTGCTGCCCTTTCCTTTTCCCAATAGGATCCCATCCCCCCTGAGCTGACCACACTCCTACAGCAGTCCCAGGATCCTCTGCTCAAGGTGCTATTTCCTACTAATCCCAAGGAGAAGTCCCAAGAGGAGCCCTCTGTCCAGAGCAGGGCCCCCATGTTGACTGTGGTGTCCAAGTTCAAGGTAGGTCTCCTGGTGCTAACCTGAGGTACTCATGGTTACTCTGTCAATCTCAAATGTTTTTGGAGCACCTCTCCAATTGCTGCTGTTTGCTGGGGGATAGTAATAAGCCAAGGAGATGTGGTCCTAGTCCACACGGAGTATATGGTCCAGTGTGGAGGACAGAAACCTGAAACAGACAGACAATGGGGTATAACTGGTCTGATGGAAGCCCAGGGGCAGTGGGTCACACAGAAGCCTCCCATGCACTGTTGATAGGTGGTCATGGGAGAGCAGTAGTTGCATGAACCTAGGTGATCGACTTCTTCCCAATTCTCCAGCCTCCTGCTCAGACTCCACCCTCAACTAGAACAGCTTTGTTACTTCCTCCAATTTCTGGTGCTTTCTGCTGTCACTCGGCCATTGCACATACGGAGCCATCATCTCTCACTGCCCCCTCAATTTCACCCTTATTCCCACCATCCATGCTGCTTTTCTTAGTTTATTCCTTCACATCCATCAAATCTCAGCTTTATTATCACCTCCTTGAGGACATACCCTGGGAAACACAGCTATGATAATTAGCAATTTTCTGTCCCAGCCTCAGACACGAACTGAGGGTACCCATTCAACATTTGTGTGACCTGTTGGATTGTGAGATCTGATGGAGCAGTGGACCCTGGTACCACTTCCAGCACAAGGAAGGAGCGTAATGCTAATAATAGCTGTTGTCTAAATGAATGGCAGGGGCATTATGAGATTTTTCTCTTCTAGGAAGATTGCTCTGGGAGGAATGTAATGAGGGAGGAGACTGAAAATAGATGCAGGGAGACCAGTCAGGTGAAGGGCTACAGGTCAAGAAGCATCCCAGAGCCAGAGCTGAGAAGCAGTGGAAGGTTAGAAGAGGAGTGTGCTTTGGACATGCTCAGTGCAAGCCCACCATCATGACCACAGGGCATGTGAGGATCCTGCCTTGGGGCCAGAGGGCCCGAGGAGGTGTTTGATCCAGCCACTCAACAGGGCCTAGCTGATGCCTGGGCAGTTCCAATCCCTACCTAACCTTCGTCTCTCCCCAATGCAGGCCTCCCTGGAGCAGCTTCTACAGGTCCTGCATAGTACCACACCCCACTACATTCGCTGCATCAAGCCCAATAGCCAGGGCCAGGCGCAGACCTTTGTCCGGGAGGAGGTAATTAACTCTGGGCCAAAGCTGATTTGAATGCTAGCCATCTGCCAAGGCCCTGGGGGGCTGAATATCAGGGCCATCAGCTCCAGTGGAGTGACTGGAGGGGTCTCTCAGGCTGAGCCTGACACTGGGGAGGGCTTATCTCACCTGCTCTTGCAGGGCAGTCATGGATTGTTGTGTGGTCTGTGCACTGCACCGTGACCTAGCCAAGGAGGCATCTTGCTCTCTACTCGCCAAGCCATGTACCCTGACAAGAGACCATAGCTTTCCGGAGGACTGGCCATCTTTCTTTTATTATTATTACTGTGATTTGGGTGAAGATTTACAGAGCAAATTCACTTTGCCTATAGCAGTTTACATATACTTTGTCTCATGACATTGACCACAGTTTACCACAATGCAACAGCTCCCCTCCCACTTCCTCCCCATAGTTACCTCTTCCCTGTGTCCATCCCTCCCTGGACTCCTGCCCCCTGAGCTGTCTCCCTGTGCATAAGCAGCCCTTCTTTCTCCCATGATTGTTCTCTCCAAGGAGTGTATCTACTTGAGGTAAATGTTTAACTCATATGCCTGTCTTCTGTTTGGCTGGAAACCGCAGGTATGGGTTCAATTCCAGACCTGAAGGGCAGCTAGGGGCCATAGTCTCAGTGGTTCCACCAGGCTCTATCAGACCAGCAAACCTGGTCCCCCCCCCCCTTTTTTTTTCTCCAAATGATTTTGAGTTTTGTTCCACATTGTTTTCCCTCTCTATCAAGGATCTCCTACACAGATCCCCTTCCAAGTGGATGACAGTGGTAGCCGGGCACCATCTAGTTCTTCTGGTCTCATAGTCATATAGGCTACAGATCAGATGGTGTACCAGTCGCTAGGACTAATTGTTTCCATGAATTTTTGCTTTCTTCATTCTTCTTTGCTCTGGACAAGGAGAGACCCATCGTTGTATCTAGATGGCAGCTTGCTAGCTTTTAAGATCCCAGTCGCTACTTGAGGACTGGCCATCTTTTGTGATTAGCTTCAAGTGTGCTTAACTTTACATTCCATGGTTTCTGGCTGGAGATGTAATTTTTTTCTAATTTGCTTGGAAGCACCCTGTGGTTAGCCCTGCCCTTTCCTCCTGGTAGCAGACTCAGGCATGTGGATGAGGTGTGGGTGCTGGAGATGCTGAAGAGTACCCCACAGTCAGCTAGCGTCTCTGGCCTTGGGGTCTATAGCCAGACCACTCTGCTCTGTGGTAAAAACCTTAGTTCAGGTCACAGAAGAATCTTCACAATATAACCTCTCTGCCCCTCAGCTGTGAATCACTGTATCACCTACTAAAAAGAAAAGGAAAATTTGGTTGGGCTGTGTTATGAGCTGGAGAGTTCTCGGGCACTGCTGGAAGTGGTGAGACAGAGCCATGGCTGGATCTGAAGCCATGCACCAGATTAAAATTAAAAGGACTTGGGGACTATCAGGACCTTTTCTAGAGGGGAGATACCTTCACAGTCCCTTGATTTCTCACTGCCCCAGAGAGAAATCCCCCACCAGCTCCAGCCTTGGGAGAAGCTGCGAGTCTACACTGGTGAGGGCCTCAGAAGAAGGCTGAAAGGATGGTGTTTGTGGCCCGTTGGCCCCCGAGCTGCAGGTGCCCACCCTATCTCCCCACTCTTGCAGGTCCTGAGCCAGCTGGAGGCCTGTGGTCTCGTGGAAACCATCCACATCAGTGCTGCTGGCTTCCCTATCCGGTGAGTGGGCAGAGGAGCTAGGGTAGGACTTGGGATGTGGAGCTGAAGAGAAAGAGGCAGGGCTCAGAAGTCAACCTGGAGGTCCAGGGCAGTAAGCAAGGTACTTGATTGCTGAGTACTCAGTCAGTCCCCTTCTGGGACTGCAATTTTTTTTTTTAATGTGATTTGGGTGAAAGTTTACAGAGCAAATTCATCTTCTCTACAGCCGCTCACATACACTTTGTCTCCTGACATTGGCTGCAATTTCCCACAATGCAACCGTTCTCCTCCCACTTCCTCTCCATAGTTACCTCTTCCCTGTGTCCTTCCCTCCATTCACTACTGCCCCCCAGGCTGTCTCCCTGTGCATACACAGCCCTTCTATTCTCCCATGACTGTTCTCTCCAAGGAATATATCTACTAATGGAAATGTTCAGCTCATATGCTTTTCTTTTATTTGGCTGGAAGCCACAGGTATGGGTTCAATTCCATACCTGAAGGGCAGCTAGGGACCATAGTCTCAGGGGTTCCACCAGGCTCTATCAGACCAGCAAACCCGGTCCATTTTCTAAAAATGATTTTGAGTTTTGGTCCACATTGTTCTCTCACTCTATCCAGGATCTCCTACACAGATCCCCCTCCAAGTGGTTGACAGTGGAAGCCAGGCACTATCTAGTTTTTCTGGTCTCATAGTCATATAGGCTGAGGATCGCGTGGTGCACCAGTTCCTTTGACTAATTGTTTCCATGTGTCTTTGGTTTTCTTCATTCTTTTTTGCTCTGGGCAAGGAGAGACCCATCATTGCATCTAGATGGCCACTTGCAAGCTTTTAAGATCCCAGTTGATACTCGCCAAAGTAGGAATGTGGAGCAATGTTTTTCTGTAGTATGTTATGGTAATTGACCTTGATGTCCCCTGTGACCATGGTCCTAAGCCCACAGGTCCAACTACTTGCTCCCCCTGGGTAGCTGGCTGTGGCCAAGAGGGATTATAAATTTGAAAAGAGGCTGTATTTCTGTAGGAAGGTGCTATGAGGTTTGGAGAGAGACAGATACCATCCCTATCTAAAGCAGAATCTTTGATAATGGTGAAAAAATACAAAATTGTTCACTACAGATTAGTAAGTAAGCACAAGTTAGCCTGTGCTTACCTTGTTTATTGGTAATCCACCACTGCTCCAGGGGCGGTGTCCATTTGCTTACTGTGCACTCTTTTGTACCAGGCACTGGTTCTGGTAATGTGTCAGTCAATAAGGAAGGTGAGTTCTGCCCTCTTAGAGCAACATTCCCGTGGAAACAAGAAAATAAGTATAATCAGTGCTGGGAAAGAAACAAAAGATGCTATTAAATAGACTAACGGGACAGAGGATCCTCAGGCCTGTGGGACGGGAAGGAGCAGCCTGGAAAGATTGGGAGTGGAGGGAGTATTCAGAGAGCAGGGACAGCAATCATAAAGCTCCAGGTGAGGAACTGAGAGACGCTAAAGTGACTGGAGCACAGAGAATAGGCAGGGTGGGACAAGACGGGAGAGGGAGATGGCAGAAGCCAGACCATGGAGGGCCATGTAAGCCATTGGAGGACTTGGCAGCTTGTCCTTAGTGCAATGGAAAATGCTGGACATTGTGCAGAGGGAATGGTGTAATCTCACTCGTATTCTAAGAAGATCCCTGTGGCTGGCGTGAGGGGATTGGACGTGGGTCAGGATAGAAGGGAGGAGATGGTGAGGAGCCTGCTGCATGTGTCCAGGCAAGAGTGACAGCTCAGGTGAGTGGCAGCAGTGAAGATGGAGAGAAGTGGGTGACAGCAGAATGGTTTGCGATAGAAATAGCAGGACCTGCATTGACTGTAGGGTGTTGCATGGGAGCAGTCAACTTCCAGGTTGCAGAAGCAACCTTCTACATATCTGTCACAAGCCAATGGATGAATTGGGAGACAGTTTACTGAAATGTGATTATCTGGGGAAAGTCCAGCTGGAGGACAGGTGAAGAGGGTCAGGAATTTTCTGAAGGTCTTGTCTGGGCTGAGAGGGCTAAGATGGGCTTGGGGCTCAGCAGAGCTTGAAGAGCTGGAGGTGCACGTCAGATGTTAACACAATGAGCTAGAAGGAAATCACCTGGGAGAGATGAGGGTCTGAGGCCCCACCCTGAGGAGTGCTCACGTTTAAAGAGGATAGGTGATGAGCAAGGACAGCTGGTTAGCAAGGGCAGCCGGGAAGGGGTCGTGGGTGAAGGAGGAAGCCAAGATTGGGGGCCTGGTGGCTGAGTGTGTGCTATAGGGAGAGGGGCCAGCAGGCACCTATGGCCCACAGGCCAGGTAAGAGGGACACTGAGCACCAAGCACCAGATTTGGTGACAGTGCCTGTGATGGCTGTGACACAAGCCACATCAGTGCAGTGTTGGAGACAGAAGCCATTCAGGAGGGCTGATCCACAAATGGGTGGAGAAAGTGCGCATACCAGCCTTATCACCTGTTCAGAGGAGTGCTGCTGTGACGGAGCAGAGAGATGAGCACCGAGTGGGGGACACGAGCAGAGAGCACTCACAGGGAGGCGTGAGGCCTGTGAGCCCTTCAGAAAGAAGCAGGCTGCAAATCCCAATTAGGACTCGTCAGAGACACCAAGGCAGGAGCAACAGCAGACCAGCTTACAATGGCCTGCACTGGCTCATCCCAGAGGGGCTGCCCTCATCCACCGATTGGGGAGTTGGAGCAGCACTTCACTGGGTTGTTGAGCAGATTAAATGAAGGCAATGGGATTGAGCCCCCAGCACTGCCTGGCTCACAGATGAAGTCACTTCATTCTCTTCTCCCATCTGCTTTGGGTTCCAGGGTCTCTCATCAGAACTTTGTGGAACGATATTCACTGCTGAGACGGCTTCGCCCTCGTGCATCCCCTGGCCCCCACGGCCCATCTCCTGCCAAAGCGCACTCAGGTGAGTCGGGGGCCATTTGTTAGTTTTTCCATTTAGCTGTGGTTTACTGGGCACCACCCCCATGCTCCTTCAGGGCTAGGGGCTGGGGATTCAAAGCCCTGACCTCAGTTCTAGGTTCAGTGGGAGAAACAAACTTAAGAAAGACAAATAGTGTGGAAAGTGGGAAGGCAGTGCTATAAACAGGATGCTTATAGTAGTGCTGGGGAGGTGGAAATCTGGGAAGGCTTCCTGGAGGAGGTGGTTTCTGAGGTTAAATTGGATTAGCAGGTGAAGGGCTCTCCACATATCAGAATTAATCTAAACAAACACTTCAAAGTATGAGACAGTACTATGTGTATAAGGAGCTCTGAGCCATTCAACATGATGCATAAAGACAAGGATGGTGGGAGGTCAAAGCTCCTGGATTTTCTTCTCTGGGCAAATGGGGAGATACCATATGTGAGGGAAGGAGTGTCTCTGTCAGCTTTCTGGAGACCACTCTGGGGCCCTGCAGAGGGCAGAGGAGTGAGGCAAGACTCAGGAGGGAGGCTGCTTAGGAGGCTGGGACAGATGGAAGCCAGAGGTGTAGGCACAGTCAGGAAATGTTAAGAGAAGAAACTGACCAAATGATGCATGTCTGATTGATTAGAGGGAGAGGAGGAGAAGCTGGGGTCCTGCTGCCCCGAGTCCCAGGTCCTTGAGTCATCCAGTGGATGTGTCTACAGGGCACTTGGATGAGTGTTAAGGAAGGTCTGGCCTGTGGCACAGTTTACTAGTTGATGGCATGTAGAAGCTCTGGGAGTGAATGAGGCAGCCCGGGAACGGGTGGGGAAGAGGCCGAGGGTGGGCACGAGGCTCCACTCAGCAGAACCCCAGCCCAGCAGCAGCGGCTCCCCCACCCCTTACCCAGGGGCCCATGAGGCCCTAGTGAGACGATTCCACTTTGCTTTTTGCCCCTCTTGGGCATACTTTTGTCACTTCCTTTCACCCTCTCTTCCCCCTTCTCTCTTTTCTTCTCTTCTCCTCCCTCTCCATGGTTTGCCTCCTGCTCTGTGCCCAAAGCCCCTCTGGCCCCTGGTTGATTTTGCTGCTGATTCTCGTCTGCGGTGTCTCCTTTGGCAGCCTGTCTCCAGCGAGGCACTGGGCAGCTAAAGGTGGTCAGAGCCCTCAGGTAAATCCTCCTCTCCAGGAGGCACCTGTGAGATGCAGGAGGGTAGGCACAGGGACCCTCCAGACCTTCACAGGGCTGAGATTGCTGCTGTCCCTTTTCCCATTCATGGCAGGGGTCGGGCTGAGAGGAGGCCTGGCTGCCCTGTTTGGCCTCAGGATGTTTAGGGCTTTGGAAACAAATGCTGAGCAGCCTGGGATTCCAGACTGGAAGTTGCTCTACCGAGCGTCAAGTACCCTCTTCCAGCCTATCCAAGGGGGACCCATGGGAACGGAGACTTAGAGCACAGCCACCATGGGGATTCTGAGACTCCTCAGAACAGCCAGAGCCCCGAGGTCCTGAGAGAATCACAAACTGGCTCTGGCCTATCCCCTCAAATACAGAAATAGAAATTACTAGAAGCAAGAATGCCAGGAAAGAGGCTCCTGAGTGTTAGGGGGGTCAGACCCAGCTTCTTCAGGCCAGAAAAGGGGGAGACGCACAGGAACATGTGGAGATGAGCAGCATTGATGGGGCCTTTGTCTCCTGTCCCCTAGAAGGGCGCCCTCACACCGAGGAGACCACACTGCAGCTGCGCCTCCAGGACATCCTCCACACTCTGCCAGCTGTAACTTGGTCAGCAGCCACACCTGGTGACCCAGTTGAGGCCACGCCAGCCCCAGTACACTGTGGCAGGACCAAGGTGTTCATGACTGACTGCATGGTAAGCTGGTTTGGGGGTGAGGGGCAGGGATCACAAAGGCCAGCTGCAGGTTGTGTTCAGGACGGGGCCAGGAGGGCTCAGCGCCTCAGTGGACACCTCTTCTCCCAGTTGCAGCTTCTGGAACGCGGGCGCACTCAGGTGCTGGGGCAGTGTGCTCGATGCATCCAGGATGGCTGGAGGCGACACCTGCGCCGTAAGCAGGGCAGGCAGAGGCGGGCTGCTGTGCTCATGCAAGCAGGTAGGAGTGGCACCCAGACAACCCAGGGGCTCTGGCCTCCCACCATCCTTGTCTTTATGCATCGTGCTGAATGGCTCAGGGCTCCTCATACACATAGTACTGTCTCATACTTCGAGGTGTTTAGATTAACTCTGATATGTGGAGAGCCCCTCACCTGCTAATCCAATTTAACATGACATCACCTCCTCCAGGAAGCCTTCCCAGCAGGTGAGCCTGGATGCCACTGCTTGTCAGTGGTGGCACACAGACCCCATGCGATACTGGTTTCCTTGTGAACTTTGCTCGTTCTGAAGCTCACCGTCACAGCCTCAGTAGGTGGATGCATGTCCCCATATAGGATTTGAATTCTCTGTCCATCTCTCCACAGTATAGTGGAAACCACTGTCAATAAGGGTGCCCTATAGGTTGTTAAGGAGCTCTGAGGCAGTGGTGTGAACAGTGATACCAGCAATCAACATATGTTGTTACAACAATCAACCACATGAGATTAAGAGGGCAGCATTTGCCCAGGAATAGTGCTCAGAAGGCAGGAAGGAATGGGAAGGAAGGAAGAAAGGAAGTGGAGGGCTTGGGGAAGAAGTGGAAAGAATGCTGTTGTATTGTGGGGATTACAGTGAATGTCACAAAACAGAATCTGTATGGATTACTGAATGGAAAACCAACTTGCTGTGTAACTTTCACTCAAATCACAATTAAAAAAAAATTTCCACCCTTGGAAACACTATGGGGCAGTTGTTCTCTGTCCCATGGGGCCACTGTGAGGCGGGATTGACTCCATGGCAGGGGGTTATTTGGTTTTACAGGTTGTTGCTATTAGTTGCCATTGAGTCAGCCCCTGACTCACAGCGACTCCATGTACTTACCAAGAGCTTAATGAACATTTTGTTATCTCCTTCCTGTTTCTGGGCAAACCTCTTAGCCACTCGCTCCTGGTTAACTCGGAAGCGCATCCAGAGGCTGCACACAGCTGCCACCGTCATCAAGCGTGCATGGCAGAGGTGGAGAGTGAGTGTCTGACTCAGGAAGGCAGGGTGGGCAGTGGGGGTGGGGGAGCGGGCTGGCTCTGCCATAGCTAGTGGAGCGCCTGGCCAAGTCACCTGTCTACCTGAGCCTTGTTCCTTGTGTATAAAATAACTGGCATAGTTAACTCTGGGATTATATTAAAAATCACTAAAGTAGATACTTTAAAGGGTAAATTTTATGGTATGTGAATTTTACCTCAGTAAAGCTTTTTTTTAAGTACCTCATTATGAAAGGAGTAGGCCTAGGGCCAGGCACACTGACCTTGTAGCCTCTTGTCTAAAGAACTGTTACCGCACAGAGCCAGTCTAGTTCAAAGCCTCCAGGTGTTTACAGCTATGTGCCCTTCAGTTTACCTGGATAAACTGATTTATTAGTTTTAATTAATTCATAGGGCTAGATAAATCTAGGGAGCTCTAGTAGCGTAGTGCCTAAGGCATTTGACTGCTAACCAGAAGGCTGGCAGTTCAAACCCACCAGCCACTCCTCGGAAGGAAGGTTGGGCAGTCTACTTCTGTAGTGATACTGCCTCGGAAACCCAAGGAGGGGTCGCTATGAGTCAGTCCAACTCCACTGGCAGTGGGTTTGGTTTTTTGTTTTTTAGATAAATCTAAATAAAATGATAAGGAATGTTTTCTTTTTAAGATCAGGATGGCCTCCCTTGCTTCTAAAGAACTGGATGGTGCGGAGGAAAAACACTTGTCTGGAGATCTCCATTCCCTGAGCTCCACCTCATTGCCTCCAGCGCAGACCAGGCTCCTGGGGGCAATAATCCGCCTGTGGCCCCTGGGACTGGTCTTGGCCAACTCAGCCACAGGTGTGCGTGGCTTTCAGAGGCAACTGGTGGTCTGGGCCTGCCTCCAGCTTCCCTCCGGAAGGTCCAGCAGCTACACCGTCCAGACCGCACAACAGGATCACGCTGGTGTCACATCTGTACGAGCGCTGCCTCAGGTAGGTTGTTTGTGATGGGATGACTTATCCTGCCCTACAACTCTGGGTCTCTCCCACCCCACCATAAAGGGCAGGAGACAAACCTTAGGAGTCTATAGGGAGAGTAGAACTATGACTGTGACAAGAGCCATCACTGCCCTACTGGGTAAACCACAAGCCTGCGTGTCCCAATTGGCTGTAGGTTTGGATTATTTCCATAATTATAGCTGGGAATATTCCAGAGCCCCTTCACATTTTTCATACTGTATCTAAGTATTTTAGCATCTCCTCTGAATCTTAGTCTATTTTCAAAAAATTGGATTACAGTGCAGCTTATTCCCTCAAACATCACTGGATTTGGCACTGTGTTCTCAAATTACTTAGTTTACCTCCTTTTCCAGCCGAGGAAATGACAAGCGAGTTGGTGTCCAAGGCCTCCATGTTTTTTATCTTATGGGCAGCCAGGAAGAACAGTCAGCCAGCACACTCAGGAAATTGATGTCCCACATTTCCATCAGAAATGATGTAGGTGAGGAAAGGTGAGAGGCATGTTTGCTGGAGGCAGAACCCCAGGGTCCAGGTCCTGGTCTGTCCCCATTCACTGGATAACTTTGGTTAAGTCATGTCTCATTTCTTGGCACCTTCAGTTCCTCTATAAAATGAGGCTAATACTCTCAACCTATTACCCAGGGTTGCAGCAAGTATTAAGTGAAATCAACAAGGCAGGAGGAAGGAAACATTGTTTCCACACCAGAGGAATTACTACAGGTCACAATTTGGATAAACACTCCCAAGAAGGTGACACCCTCCTAGTGTTTCCTTATCAGTCTCACACTGAATGGATGTGAAATTTTATATTTTAATACTGCTTCAGTTTCCCCTTGTTTTAGAATAAAGAAAAAAACACGCTGATTGACTCAGTCCTGCTATTGCCGTAATCCCATACCAGCAGTGATTCGTCTGCACCTTACTGCACTTCCAGCATTCCCCCTGGGAGGCGCCTGCAGGCCCTGGCACTCCGGGGAACTGGGGTAACCTTAGCTGCATCTCTTTCTCCCTAGGGTTCGATAAAGTTTCACTGCAGAAAGTCTCCACTCCGCCATGCTGACATCTGCCCTGAACCTTCACCCTACAGTGTTACTGGCTTTAACCAGATTCTGCTGGAAAGACACAGGCTGATCCAAGTGTGAGCTCTTCTTGCCCTCTGCCCTCTCTTGGGTGGGTGATCCTTGGTGCCTTTGTTTCTCCAAGGCCTTTTCCTTCTAGCTGCCTTGCCAAAGATATTTAATCATCAACACACAGCTGCCAAACTATTCCCACAGTGACTACAATGCACGTTGAGTGCATGCCAGCTCTAGCCTCAGAGCTCAAACTGCAGTGGTAAATGTACCAGTGGGTCTGGGGGCTCCAGACTACCTCTCAGACACTGACAGAGTATCAGGGTTGGGAGTTACCAAACCAGGAATCAGACATTATCAGGGCTATGGAGACCTTCACTACATCAACTTGTCAGACTCAGCACTGGACATAAATGTCCAACACATAAATGTGCTGTCACTACATCAGAACACCTCCAACTTCCCACAAGCACTTTTGAAAGAAAACACACAAAGTCAGCCTGAAATTATTGACTCTAAAATCTTGGCTGGGGGAAATTTCATACTTAGTTCCTTAAAAAAAGAACAAAACCGTAGGATTTAACAAGCTTTTGATTTATTTAATATAATGTCAAGTAATTAGGATATCATAAACCAAAGATGGTGAAATATATAATAGACCCACCAAATCCTGATTTTATTTAGTAACACTGGTCAAGTTTTTAGCTCAAACAGTTATAAAAAAAACTTGATAAACAATCAATCATCTCTTATGATGTTAATCTTAAATGTACCAAAAATAAAACATTTTAGAACAACCATTTGAATGTTGACTTTTCTCTTCACTTTGAGTACCTCCCACTTGCCTGAAACAAGAGTTCGTGTCACTGGAGATGACCACCTCCGCTGGTCAGCATCCTGGAACTAACCTCCTTTCCAAAGGGCTCCAGCTAGGCCTCCCTCCATAACAGCTGGTCTCCCAAGAGAAGGGGACAGGCTTTGGGAATCAAGCACATGCCTAAGACATCTTTAAGAATCCTCATTCTTAAGAGGTTCCACAATTTTCAAACAGCAGTCTGCAAACTCCACAAACAAGGGCTCTTGCATATAAGTTCTCATGAGCTTTGCTTTGTCCTCCCCCTGATCGAGGCTGACCATCAACTGTCTAAGGTGTGGATTGAGCAGTAAGTTCCTCAATGGTGCCGAGTCCCCTGAAAAATTAACAAAGACAGCCTGAGTACAAGTGGGAATAGGTGGAGACAGCTGAAGGCTAAACGTTTCAAAGGTAATGATCAACTTTCAAAGATATATCCCCTTAACCCTTAAACCTAGAAGTTAACCCAATGCTTGACACATAAGCAAGGTCAAATCAGCGTATTAAATGTTTTGTAGGTTAGATTTAAATACTATAAATATTGCAGCTTCGTGCCATTTCAGCTAAAGAAAATCGGCACGAATAGAGAGCACAGCATTAAATTGTTGGCTTTTTACTTTCTTTATAGGCGTAAAGGTTCTCAATGGTGAGGACAGTTATGCCCAATACTCTAACTGATATGAAAAGCATGGCATCCAGTGCGAAGGACCCATAGGTAAAAAACACTAATATCCATATAGTACTTTGCGGTCTACAAAACGTTTCACACCTATTACCAGTTCAGTTCCTACTTCGGTCTAATTCATACTAGGGGACTAAGTGCAAATAACTGATTTTCAGCCTGATTTTAGAAAACAGAAGGAAAGAAATGTCCACCTTTACTTACACACATAACAGAACCATTATGAGGAACTGAATGAACTGCTACAAAAATGCTGGGCATGATTAACACCCATTTCCCCCTTAAAAATCCCATGATCACCAATCTGCACTAATGGCATCTATAAATTGAACACAAGGGACATGGGAATAAATGCAGGTCCCTGCCCTACAGACTGGTGAGTGACAAATTACCATACAGCGTGTTGAGTGGCGTATCAGTAAGTCCACTATGGGAAGCTGAAAATGGGCCCAATTCTGAGAGATGAGGTCAAAAGTTTCACTGAGGAAATTTAAACCATGCCTTGGAGGAGGAGCCAAATTTTGCCAAGACACAGGGCAGCTGGAGGATTCAGGCAGAGGGAATGGCACTGCAGGCAGGCTGGGAGGCCACAAAAGTCCTGCATATTTACAGGAAGGAGAAAAAGGGCCCTGCCTGCCATGCCAAGGTATTTAATAACTCTTAAAAATTACATTCTATACAACAGGTTATATGTATGTAACAGACTGGAAGACTACGCACGATGATTGCCCTGAGAGACTCTTAACACACTGAAAACAAAACTAGCCCCAAAGGTCACCATTTAGCTAGATAACACTGGCTCAGAAAAGAAAGACTATTACCCTTGAGTACTGTGCTCTTTTTAAAAATGATCTATATGAGACAAACGGTCAACAATTAAAACCAAAACAAAAATGCAAGAGGGCAGAAAAACTAGATTAACGGGAACAGAACCACCGGAACAAAATTATTGAGAATGTTGACACATTGTGAAAAACGTAACCACTGTCACCGAACAGTTTGTATAGAAATTGCTGAATGAGAACCTAAACTACTACGTAAATCTTCATGGAAAACACAATAAAATAAAATAGTGTGTTTTAAAAAATGTATCTCAAAGGTTGACAAAGAAACAAACAACATAGACTTACCTAGATTCTTTAAATTCTGCAAGGAAACTCTGTCCTCTTCCTCATCACTATTGAGAAAATCAGCTATAGATGACTCATCAGCTAAAGAAAAATATAAGTTAACTGCTTAAGATTGGAAAGAAAGCGTAGGCACAGATTTTTAAAATTACCAATAGATTACGAATGTATGTGCACACACACACACAGAAGGGTAGACAGTAGATTGAAATAAAAACCACCACCCTTTCTTCTCTGGCACTGTGACCATACTCACACTCATCCATTAGGATAATGAAAATCAGAATTTTTAATTTTTATTGTGATTTGGGTGAAAGTTTATAGAGCAAATTCACTTTCCATACAGCAGCTCACACTTTGTCTCATGACATTGACTACAATTTCCCACAAAGCAACAGCTCCCCTCCCACTTCCTCCCCATAGTTACCTCTTCCCTGTGCCCTTCCCTCCCATGCACTGCTGACCCCCAAGCTGTCTCCCTGTGCATACACAGCCCTATTCTCCCATGATTGATCTCTCCAAAGAGTGTATCTACCTAATGCAAATGTTCAGCTCATATAAACTGTCTTTTGTTTATCTGGAAGCCACAGGATGGGTTCAATTCCAGACCTGAAGGGCAGCTAGGGGCCACAGTCTCAGTAGTTCCATCAGGCTCTAACAGACCAGCAAACCTGGTTGCCACCACCCCCCCTTTTTTTTTTTAATGATTTTGAGTTTTGTTCCATATTATTCTCCCACTCTATCCCACATCTCCTACACAGCCCCCCCTCCAAGTGGTTGACAGTGGTACCCAGGCACTATCTAGTTCTGGTCTTATAGGCTGAGGATCACATGGTGTACCAGTCACTTGGACTAATTGTTTCCATGCACCTTTGGTTTTCTTAATTCTTGTTTGCTCTGGATGAGGAGAGACCGATCATTGCATCTAGATGTCTGCTTGCAAGCTTTTAAGATCCCAGTCACTACTCGCCAAAGTAGGATGTGGAACAATGTTTTTGTGTAGTATGTTACGCCAATTCAGCTTGATGTCCCCTGCAACTATGGTCCCAAGCCCACAGGTCCAACTACTCACTCCCTTTGGGTAGTTGGCTATGGCCAAGAAGTGACTACCACCTTATCCTGTGTTAGCTCTACTATATACCTGGGAATTCTTACAGAACATACAAGTACACTTGTAGAAACATTGTCTACCAACCCTATACATGATCTTGGGCACATTCCCCCTGCATAGACCTACCTAATCATTCAGCATATCCACCCATCTATCCACCTACACATCAATGTTTGCCTTCACTGACAACGCAGTACTGTACGTACAAAAGGGTTCAACTTTGTTGTCTGTACCTCCCATGCAAGAATTGGTGACTTTTAATTTAACAAATGCATCCTAGTGTTCATACACACAATTCTGTGGTCTTTGGGCTTGGAGCCCAATTTTCTAAATCACCCCACCTCCTAGCACCATGGTCCCAGCCTTGTCATGGGCAAAAAACCTCAATGCTTGTAAAAACCTGCTACCATAAAGCCTCTCTGCTTTCTGCATTTGCAAAAACTGCTTAACACTGCCTGAGCTCAACCTGTAAAGTTTCTCAAAGAGAAACTGTGGACCATCCCTTTGCTGTGAAGCTTCAGTACTTCTTTGGTAGCACTGGAACAGGATGCTTTTGGAGCCTGGCATGTGTGGCACCCGATACTCAGGAAGTACTACAGCAGGTGTAGAGAGATGGATAGGATGACAACCTGCTACTGCTACTGCTGTAAGATGTGAGAGGCAGCAAGGTGAGCTAGGTCAAGGAAGCTTCCTGTCTAGGCCCAGCTCAGGTGACTTGACAGCCCCAGCCAGGCCCAACACCACAACAAGAGAAGGTCAGCAGAGCCCACCCCATGCCCCCAAACCTCTGCCATGGCCTTTTGTTCTCTCAGCTCCCTGGCCCCATTTTTCTTTCCCTGAACAATGCCCTCAGGCAGCCCTATCAATGCCACCCATGACAATGTGTGTCCCCACTCCCAGTGCTCAGGGTAAGGAAGCTGCTCCCCCCCAATGATGGGTGCAGGTCCTGACCCCTTATCCAGACCAAATCTCTTTTCTTTCCTTTCAACATATTCTATTTGAAAGCCCTTTCTAGGTCAGTTGGCTTGTTTGGTTTTTAAACCAACCAACCTACCTTTGCTTTCCACAGGCTTTGTCGAGTCTGTAGGAAGAAATGAACTTCTTTTTTTCTTTATAGGATGTGTTTCAGGGTTGCACTGCTCTGAAAGACACATATATCTTAGACACACAAAGCTGCCCCTGCCCACCCCCCCAAAAGCCAGCATAGGTACTCAGTAAGGGATGTGGGTAGGCTAGAGATGAATGGAGGTACTGAGAGATCAAAACAAGGGGTAGTGTAAGGAAAACCACAAGTAACCCTGCACCTGTCAGGAGGGCTAACGAAGCATGCACCCCTACAGCCTGTTCCCATTCTTCCTGCCCTGACTAATCTCACAGGGCTTTCACCAGGATTAAGTGGCACTAACTTCAATTTTCTCAGGAATTTCAGACACTGTATTTGCACATGCCATGTGCCACTAGGAATACAGAAGTGAGAAAAACACCAGGCCATCCTCAAAGAGATGTAGTATTGGGGGGGGGGGGCCTTGTTATGTGCCATGGAGTCGGCTCCGACTCATAGCGACCCCTCCTTGGGTTTCCGAGGCAGTATCACTACGGAAGTAGACTGCCCAGCCTTCCTTCAAGGAGTGGCTAGTGGGTGTGAACCGCCAGCCTTCTGGTTAGCAGTCAAGTGCCTTAGGCATTATGCTACCAGAGCGCCCAGTATTAGGGAGTAGCAATAAGTCAACAAACAACTGTATCACGAAAGACAGCTAGAGGCATAGCGAGGGTAAGCAGGGTCTGGTCTAAATTCATCTCAGAAAGTCAGGAGACAAAACCAAGAGGATTTTTGGAGCCAGAATCTTTGCCAAGTGGAAGGAGCAGCATCCCTGGCAGAGAAAGGTCTATGCTTGGACCAGATACTTGAAGGATTAGGATCAAGTACAGGGAGATGGCTAGAGTTCTGGTGGCATCATGGTTAAAGCACTGGACTGCTAACCAAAACGGTCAGTGGTTCAAGGTCACCAGCCCCTCCGTGGGAGAAAGAGGAGGCAGTCTGCTTCTGTAAAGATTTACAGCCTTGGAAACCCTATGAGGCAGTTCTACTCTGTCCCATAGGGTCACTATGAGTCACAATCAACTCAATGGCATTGAGTTGCCAGGGAGACAGAGATGAGGAACTGCCAACTTATTCGTAGAACAGGCCTGGCAGGTGGCAGGGACCCAAGAGGAAGCCAGAACAAGAGAATGTCTCTCAAAAAGGACAGTACTGGTGTATCCAGGGTAGGAAGGTCTTTAGCAGTGTAGGACGGCACCATGCTGTCTTAACAAGATATTTACTTGACCTGCCCAACACCTCCTCAGCTACTGTTACAACAAATGTCCCCTAAACCTACTGCCGTCAATTCTAACTCCTAGCAACCTTATAGCAGAGTAGAACTGCCCCATAGGGCTGCAAAGGATGTAATCTTTACAGAAGCAGAGTGCCACCTCTTTCCCCTACAGAGCAGCTGGTGAGTTTGAACCACTAATCTTTTGGGTGGCAGTCAAACGCTTTTACCACTGTGCCACCAGGGCACCTAAATATGCCCTAGAGAAAGCAGTAACTCAGAATAAGAGTCACTGTGCCCTAGATGCTAGAAAGTCATGTAGAGATTCCAAAAGGGGAAGGAACTGCTACATCTGCATTTCCAGAAAAATCAGCCCTGGCAGCAGCTGGGGTTCCTGATTGCCCTGGGTGTTCCTGGAGGGCCCTCAAAAGGCTGCAGATAGAAAAGTGGGATCCAAAAATCCAACCCTGTTTCCAGCAGGGAAGTACCATTCCTCTTCTATCTTGAGATGAAAGCTTTCTTTTGAAAATGCTACAGATCAATCAGCCACATTATTTAAAGGAAATAAAGTGTACTTGGTAACATTTCTGCCAAATGCTGAGGGACTACGCCAGATTAAAGTCGATTAAGCTTAAAAGGGCAAACAGGGCGGCAAGCAGAAGGAAAAGAGGCTACGAAAGTTATTATTGTTACTATTATTTAAAGTGCGCAGTAGCATTTACAGGCAGAGGTGAAGGACCCGCAGGCAGGCAAAGGTCCAGGACACCAGAGATGAAGTCCTAGGAACGAAGGTTCCTGCGCGGATGCAAGGGAGATCTGCGACAAGAAACGCTAGTGAGGATCTCCGACAGCATCAGGCTCCGCAAAACTGAGAGGTTTACTTCCGCGAGATGTCTGCGGTGCGGAACAGGGGAGTTGCCCCAAGCTAGGAAGAGGCACCCAGCTTTACCTTTATGCTTCCGGAAGCAAGTCAACGAGCAACTGTAACAAAAGAGACCACAGTCCGTGTCCGCCCCTTTGACTGCGCAGACCCCGCCGCCCCGGCCCGCCGCCCCGGCCCACCGCCCCACCACTCACTAAGGCACGCGGCAGGCGGGACAGCGGTATTTAGGCTTCTCTAAGCAGACGACGCAGACAACGGTCTTACAATTGAGCGACGCCATGATCTATCCAAGAACTTCCGCCTACCGGACGCACGCCCACCCCTAGGCGCAGATACTAAGTGCACGCTTTCTTCCTGTTTCCTAAACCAGGACCAATTAGCGCTCTGCGTTTCGTGACAGACAAAAGCAATGGAATGAGCCTGCTCGTTGTTCCAGCCCAGGTAGGTAGAACGTCGATGCACTCGACGTACACAGGAAAGTAATAGCTTTGGAGACTTTTCTTGATTAGGTCATTTTGTGGAAGAACTCGCTCTGTAGCCCTGACTCTGTCCTGTATATAAAGTGATAGAGTGGCATTAAACGGCTTTTGAGGCGCCTTTCCACTCGGACTTTATCTGCGGGGGCATTAGGTTCTCCCTGTAGCTGATTAGAAGACCAGACAATGAACCAAACCAGCACATAGGAACCCACCCTTCCCAGCCCAGGCTATTTCTCAGAGGAAAGAAAAGCAAGCCGTCTTCACCGAGAAATGTTTTTGAGCTCCTAGCTCTGGTAGCATAGTGGCTAAGATACTTGCCTGCTAACCAGATGGCTGGCGGTTCAAACCCACCAGCCACTCCTCGGAAGGAAGGTTGGGCAATTCTACTTCCGTAGTGATACTGCCTCGGAAACCCAAGGAGGGGTCGCTATGAGTCAGGTTTGACTGGACGGCATATAACAACAACAACAACAACTATAAGCCCAAAGAGCATGGTTAAACACTTGGTTGCTAACCAAAAAATTTACAATTCAATCTCACCAGCCGTTTAAGAAGACCTGGCGATCTGCTGTGTAAAGGTGGTGGTTGTTATGTTATGTGCCATTGAGTCGAACCTGACTCATAGTGACCCCTCCTTGGGTTTCCAAGGCAGTATCACTACGGAAGTAGATTGCCCCATATTCCTTCTGAGGAGCTCCTCAACCTTGGAAACCCTATGGGGTGATTCTTCTCTGTCCTATAGGTGGCTATGAGTGGGACTCAATTGGATGGCACATATCTGTGAGCTCAGCACTGACCAGACACTGGAGGGGAGTGGTGGAGGGAAGGGATTAGCAGATTTAGGGATTAGTAATCTCTGCTCTCTGGGAGTTGAAGGTATCAAGTGGAGGTGCAGGAAGGCAGGAGGCAGAGGCTCACTTTTAGGCTTTGCCCTGGTAGCTGCACTTGCACAACCTCGAGAGTGAGTGCCTCCTTAAATTTTGCACCATAGTTTCTCACTACCCTCACCCTTGTCCTGGCCACCAGCCAGCCAGCCATAGGGAGGACTGAGACCACTGCAGGAGTATCCCAGGAAGTTGGAACTTAAGTGGGAAGGCCCAGCAAAGACCAGTGATTTGTCCAGGTCCTCACTTGAACCTCATGCCATCTGATACCCAGTAGAATTTCACCCAGTATGGACATCACTAATGCCCATTTCAGACTTGTCCTGTTGTTAGTTGTGTACAAAAGCTGAGGCTAGGGACAAGCCGCACAATTTCATACACTCAACCCCATGACATCCAAACCATACTGACTCTTCTACCTCCTAGTCTGGAGTTGGGAACTCTAAGAGAGGCAATTTCTGGATTTCCTCCCTTGCACATCCTACCAGAGAAGATGCCCCTCCCTCTACTTTGGATGGCTCCCCAGCTTGAATGGACCTCCATGCTCCTTGTCCTTCAATGTCTATGAAAGAAGGTAGGTTCAGCTGTGATGGCAGTGAGACTGGGGAACACTAAGAACCCTGGTAGAGCTCCTCTTGGCAGTGACCAGCCCAGAAAAGAAAGGTAGGTATGACTCCAGCCCAGCAACTAGATGCTGATGTGAACAATAGCCCTCAGCAGCCTTTGCCACATCCTGGACCCTCACTGGCCAGTCACAGTGGCCACCCAGGGCTGCCTCATGCCTGAAGGCAGTGTGGAGTGGAAGGAAGACAAGCTGGTAATATAGGCAGAATGGATCTTGGAGATCTGCCACCTGGCAGTCATGGCCCAGAGCATTCCTGGCAAGTGGAGCCCAGCTGGCCACAGCCATGGTGAGGGCCAATTCCATGTGCCAGGAGATGCACATGGGGCCCCAGGCCCAGTGCCCCCTACTGCCAGTACCCACTTCAGGTTGAAGTTGGTCCTGGTGTAGACAGGGTATTGGAGGCACACAGTTCTCATGCTGCACAGAGAAAAGCTTGTGCTTTTCCCAAACATCGACAGGCAGCATGAGAGGGCATGGAGAGTGCAGGGACACAACAAGAGCAGGCAGGAGCATCTTCTGAAGCAAAGCAGGGTCCCTGCCGGCCAAGCGCAGTTCCTCACAGTGCTTATCACCCCACACTTGTGGCCAGCCCGGGGTTTTGGGAGGGGAAGAGGCGAGGAAATCCAGCTGGAAGCTGGCCACCCACACTGACCTGATTAAAGTTTAATCGTAACTAGAGCTTATGGATTACTTTTAAAAAGCTGCCCCAAACCTTCTCCACTGCTGTCATTGGGGAGGGCAGATGGATCCAGTCACCCCTCATGTGCCACATGATGCCTTTATCAGAGGCCTGAGGTAGGAAATCTCTGTTAAATCTTGGCTTCTGTCTGCAGCTCTAACACCCCACCTCTCCCCTGGGCATGGGGGCCCAGGGTCATCAGTATCAGCATGCTCTCTCAGGCAGACTCAAGACACATTTTCTCGTTTCCCACATACATCTTACTATTCCACAGCTCTCCACATTTGTAAAAACGGTGTGGTGGGGGCCATTGACCTCCTCTAACTTCACAAGGGAGAGTGGGAATCACTACCATTAACAGCCCAAAGCTGGAGGTGAAGGTCAGAAATGCCTCCACTCTCCAAGCTCTTTACCAATTCTGACACCAACCATCCCTCTCGTGGCACTCTCCTCTGCTGGGTTCAATAGTTTGGTGCAGTGGCCACACAGAACTCATGGACAATACTCATGATTGTGGGGTTTATTAGGGATGTAACAGGGCAGTTCAGGATCGGGAAAAACTCAGGATACAGATTGAGTCAGAACAATCTCTTCTCAGCCGTGCGCAAAGGTAGATTTCTCCTTGGCCCTTGGCCCCGCAGACCTCTTAGGCTGGCAGCCTCTTCTTTGCTCAGGCAAGTGTTACAAAACTCTTTAGTTCCACCACTAAGTGCCCAGAGGCACCTCACTCTGCAAGCCTAGCTTCCAATCTGTCAGCAAGCCTGCAGGAAGGCACTCAGGTTTCTCGCTTCATGAGCTGGGAAGCTCACTGCACCATCTCACGCTGGTCTCCTGGTTCTGCTGCTACCATTTTTCTGCCACTGCTTCTCACCATCTCCAGTGTTACAGCTCTCTGTCTCCTGGGTCTAAGGGTTTCTCAGTGCAGGGACCCTGGTCCAAAGGACACACTCCACATCTGTCTCTTCTTGGTGGTAGTCAGGTCTCTTCTCACTGCTTACTTCACTCTCCTTTTCTCTCTTGTAAGATAAAAGGTGAGATTCCAGCAAGGGTGGTGACTCGAGTGCATCCAGCCCTAATCGTGCCTCATTAACATCACAAACATACCTAATACTCATTAGCATAACCTACTGATGCCTGGTTAACACACAGAAGTCAGGATTTATAACAAACAATAGAGCATAATTACATCAGATCACAAAATGGAAGACAATCATACAACACTGGGAATCACGGCCTAATCAAGTTGACACATAATCCCACCATGACAGGTTCCACCTAATCTGTGTGGTAGTTACAGAAACTATGGCTAGAAGGATCATATTTAGTAAGTCACAGCACCACATTTTGTGGTATTTGTATCTATCTCCTCCACTAGCATACAGGGCAGGCACTTCTATCTAGTCCTGTCTCCCAATTCACAGTCCACTGGGAATGGCAGTCATAGGATTTTCTTTTTTTAAGGAAGAAAGAGGTATTGATAATTTTAAACACTTTTGTATCTCATTTACTCTTCATAACAGTTCTGTTTTGTATGTACTTAATGAGCTAAGATAGTTTACAATGGTGAGCATTATTTTCCTTCTGCCCATTTCATGGAAACAGGCTGAAAGGTAGTACTTTGTCCTTGGGCCCTAAAAAACCAAAAGCAAACCTGTTGCCATAGAATTGATTCCAACTCATAACAACTCTGTAGGACAGAGTAGAACGGCCCCATAGGGTTTCCAAGGCTGTAGAGCTTTACAGAAGCAGATTGCTTCATCTTTTCTCATGGAGTCTGGTGGGTTCAAACTGCAGAACGTTTTTGGTTAGTAATGGAGTCCTTTAATCACTATACCACCAGAGCTCCTTGTAAACTTTAAAGCACTGTCCAAATACTACTATTAGCTCAGATACCCGTCCTGCCTAAGACTTGATTGCTTTTTACATCGTTCAGACTATCTGGATATACTGTCCAGAGCACAGTGAACTTTTACTTCTATAAGGAAAGAAAGTACAGCATACCAACAATTGAATGCTCTACTACTATTAGCTCAGATACCCGTCCTGCCTAAGACTTGATTGCTTTTTACATCGTTCAGACTATCTGGATATACTGTCCAGAGCACAGTGAACTTTTACTTCTATAAGGAAAGAAAGTACAGCATACCAACAATTGAATGCTCTTAATTCTCAATGTAATTGGGATAGTTGTATACAATTAAATATTCGTCATAAGCTGCAGTGGCATTAAAGTGTAACTGCAATTAACATAGGAATCTTATGTTGACAATGTCATCTCTTAATAGGTAAAGCATTAGTTGATGTGTGGGCTTAAATGGTAAGTTATTACAACATCCTTGAATGTTGTTTATTTTACATTTTAGTCACCTTTCACCTACCTCTCCCTGATCCTGTGTTTATTCAGACTGGTTTATTTTTCTGTTAATTTCTGTTTTCCAGAGGAACTTACAGGAAGCCTATTGCTCAGTCTGCACCACTGGTTAGCTTCTATCAAGAGACAACAAAGCAAAGCTCACAAGAGGCTTGGTTTCTGGAGCTTACAGACAGCTGTTCAAGAACTGTTAAACCATCCCAGAATGAGGCTTCCTGAGTTGTGCTCCTTGCTGAAATCTG